TATGGAATTAATTCTTGCTTAGAACAACTCAAAATACTTTTATTAAAAATATTGGTTTTTAGAATAATCAATTTTACAACCTGACTTTTCTTATTATGGCAACCTTATGCTTCTTTGTTTTTTATAATAAGGTATAGGAACACATATACAGGATGAGCCAAAATGGTCACCACAGTACTCCCCCTCCAGTGAAGATGGTCACTCGAAATGAACAATTTTTTTGGTGCTTCTCTGTATCTTTTGTGTTTCACATGTTCCTTCTCCCTCGTATTCTTTAACAAAAGCTGGTTTCAAACGGTCAATACTAATATTTTTATGTTTTCCATTGGCTAATAGAGTGAAATATTTCTCGTTTCTGTTAATCACCCTGAATGGTCCATTATAAGGTGTTTAAAGGGTTTTTTTAACAGTGTCAACTCTAATGAACACATGGGAACAAGTTGATATTTCGTTTTGCAAAAATACTTTTCGTTTATTGTGATTAGTTCCAGGCGTTGCTCTCATTTTTATCATGTTTTTTCTAAGATTTTCAAGAAACTGTTGATAAGTAGTCCTTTCTATTATACGTTCTCCTGGAATCCTGAGGGTTGTTTCATACACCAATTCAGCACTTGAACACTGCAATTGTTCCTTTACTGAAACCCTGATTCCCAGTAAAATTGTAGGAAGAAGGTCCATCCACTTTTCTGATTCATGGCACTTCAGTGCTGCCTTCATTATGCGATGAAATCTCTCAATCATTCCATTAGCCAAGGATGGTAAGCTGTCGTTCTTATATGCTGCATACCCAGCAATTTTGAGAATTCTTTGAAAAGTGAAGATTCAAATTTGTCTTCCTTGGTCGGTCGTTATTCTTAACGAAACTCCAAATCGAGAAATCCATTCTTCATAAAATTTCTTGGCTACCGTTTCTCAGTTATATTGCTTATAGGAAAAGCTTCAGGCCATCTTGAATATCTATTTATGCAAGTTGAACTACGTATATCAATTTGATGGAGAAAGTGGTCCAATCAAGTCGATATTAACATGTTCGAAACGACTTTTAGGTACCTCATAAACACCTACTGGACTTACCACATGTTTACTAATTTTGGATTTTTGACATTGACAGTGAGTCCATTTTTTAATGTCTTTCTTCATATTTGACCAAACATATCTCTAGTGGTAGCTCTAATTCCGAGATGAGACAAATTATGCATTATATTGAATATTTTTCTTCTGAATGCTTCAGGTACATAAGGTCGGAGAAGCTTTTGTGAAGTGTAACAAAAAATGGAATCTTCACCATAGGGAAGTTTACGTTCCTTGAGTTTTAGAGATGTGTCTTCAGGTTCAGTGAGTAATTTCTGCAGCTCCTTATCTTTATTTTGATTTTATTTCCATTCTGAATAGTCAATATTCTTCATAAAATCGATGGTACTCACTCAGGATAAAGCATCAGCAACAGTATTGTCTTTACCAGATATATGTTTGATCTCAGTGGTAAACTGACTAATAAAATCCAAGTATCTGGTTTGCCAAGGACTACAATTCTCGGATTTCTTTTTGAAGGCAAATGTTATTGGCTTATGACCTGTATGAATAACAAAATCATTTCCTTCTAACATATATCGAAAATGTTTAACTGCCTCATATATTGCTATAAGTTCACGATCATAGGCGCTATATTTCTTTGGTTGCTGGTGAATAGACGACAATTATTATTGCCTTGATCGTTGGTCGCCTTCAACGACTGGTTTTGCCATTTCCCTGATGGAAAGAGGGTTGAAATTGACAAGGTTGTTTACATCTAGTAGCTCGCTCTTTGAATCTTCTATGGTAGTAACAAACTTCTAGTCGTTCTGTAGAGTCAGACCTTGAACGTATTTTGATTTTATTTCCATTCTGAATAGTCAATATTCTTCATAAAATCGATGGTACTCACTCAGGATAAAGCATCAGCAACAGTATTGTCTTTACCAGATATATGTTTGATCTCAGTGGTAAACTGACTAATAAAATCCAAGTATCTGGTTTGCCAAGGACTACAATTCTCGGATTTCTTTTTGAAGGCAAATGTTATTGGCTTATGACCTGTATGAATAACAAAATCATTTCCTTCTAACATATATCGAAAATGTTTAACTGCCTCATATATTGCTATAAGTTCACGATCATAGGCGCTATATTTCTTTGGTTGCTGGTGAATAGACGACAATTATTATTGCCTTGATCGTTGGTCGCCTTCAACGACTGGGAAGAGGGTTGAAATTGACAAGGTTGTTTACATCTAGTAGCTCGCTCTTTGAATCTTCTATGGTAGTAACAAACTTCTAGTCGTTCTGTAGAGTCAGACCTTGAACGGTGCCTTGGATTCCCACTTCGACTTCTAGATCTGGATCTTGATCCCATCTTTAGAGTTTCGTTCAGTTTATTCACAAGTTGCTCTAATTTTTGCTCAGTTGATAATTTTACTGCATTAACATGCTCGACAGAAGTCGTACTCTTGAGCATACCATCAGCCATATTCATAAGTTCATCTTCTGTGAGCTTCTCCAAAAAAGCTCTCATAACATGTTGGACGGCTTAATGGTAATTTCTTCAACCAAGAAATTTTTTGGACATCTGCTCGGATGACAACTCCAACATCTCCCTAAAAAGTTTTTTATCACCTAACTCACATTCACCAAAGAGTCTGGTCATTTTTTTTTAATCAACTGAGATTTCAGTTTGTTATATGAATCTGAGCTCTGGTAGATTTTGAAAAGGTTTCAATTTTCTTTGATTATTGGACAATCCAAAACTGAAATCACTTTTGCAAACTTTATTTCACTTGAGTCAGTTGCGTTAATACCAAAAATAGTTTCAGCTGTATTGAACCACAGTTCAGGTTCGTGTTTCCAAAATGATGGAAGAATTATAGATTTAGCACGCTTTTGTTCCTTTTCTATTTCCTCTTGCTGCTTATCTATCTGGGATTTTCGTCTTCTTTTAACATGTGGATGGTTCATTAGACATTGGATTGTAGGAAGGCGTTACTTCGTTGAATTTTCTTTCACTAACTGAAGTGTTTTGTATATAGTGACTCATCAAGTTCTCATACATTTCCAGCTTTTTATTATTATCGTCTAGTTTTTCTATTAGCTTTGAACATAAGATTTCTGAACCGTTCACTTTATTAATTATTTCGTCAGTGGTAATGCAGTTATTAGCTTTTTCAAGTTCACGTATTGAGTTTGCATCACCGTCAAGTTCCGAGTTATTTTTTTTGTTCTGTTTCTGTTCAATTTTTTTAAGATCATTGAAATCAAAACTGTGAGCATTTACATTTTCTAGGAAAGCTTGATGGATGTGGGCTTCTAGTTCAAGTTTCAGGTCATGTAAAGTTCCTCTCGTTTCTTGATTGAAGTGCCGTAAAATTTCGGTCAGCTGCTGTTTATTCAAATCCTGCAAGAACATCTTAACCATTTTGATACTACCGTGGCGCAACTTTAGCGCTTCTGACTCCAGATCAGAAGGTTGCGTGTTCAGATCACGTCGGGGTCACCAATTATGGAATTAATTCTTGCTTAGAACAACTCAAAATACTTTTATTAAAAATGTTGGTTTTTGAAATAATCAATTTTACAACCTGTCTTTTCTCATTATGGCAACCTAATGCTTCTTTGATTTTTACAATAAAATATATCGACAGGTATAGGAAAACATATACAGGATGAGCCAGAATGGACCCCACAAAGGTAAACAGTTCTTCTGAATTTTATTGTATCAACTTTCATAATAAAGAGTAAAATCTGGTGTCTGATTATCAAAATAGAGTAGCCCCATTATGCAAGTGTTTTGGAACATGCGAAATCACATTTTGAAGAGAAATTCTAGTTGTAGTAATAAAATGATAATTATAAATATTCAAGGCTAGAGTTGAGCACTCCATCGAAGAGTATTTGAATTGTGAGAAATAACTATTTAGAACTAATTAGAAATAACTATTTCAGATGTAATTAGTGTGTATCAACTGCAACTATTGTTTTCCATATTTCTCAGTTTGATTTGCCACTATTGTACATTTTATAGTTATTGTGAAGAAATAAACTCATCTATCTTATCTATATATTTTTTCAAAAACTACACCTCACGTGAGGTGTAGTTTACTATGGATCTTCATCAAGTAACAGCCGAATCAATCAGAAAATTATCTATATATTGTTCTATACATTTTCCCAAAAATAGTCATCATCCCAATTGCAAGTCTCAATACCTGAAAACAACTATATTCATCTATGGTCAAAATCTAATTTTATTGCAATCATACATAAAACCTAATAATATAATAATGTTTTGTGAAAAACTAAAGAGTAGATAGGTTGAAAAGTTCGTAGGCTAACACACAGAAGGAACTACTACTATTGAATCTATGATTCTTAGTTAACCTCAACCTTCAAAAGACACGTGTACAAATTTCACAGCTGCCGGATTATTAGTTTATAGGATAGAACATTTTAAGTGACACAAACTTCATTAGTTTGAAGTAAATTGATGAAAAGGATTTTTGTATGTTGAAAAAGCATTGCTTTTTCGCAAATAAAAATACTGTCGAAGCCAAGACTTAGCTTGATAAACAATATTAGGATATTGCACCAGGTAAATCAATCGTTGAGAAGAGGTTCACTAAGTTCAAACGAAGCAAAATGAGCACCGAGGACGATGCAAGCAGTGGACCCCTCAAAGCGGCTGTTACCGACGAAAACATCAAGAAAGTCCACTACATATTTTTGGATGATGGCAAAGTGAAGTTGTTCAAGATAGCTGTGGTTCTTAAGATATCAAAGGAACGTGTTGGACATATCGTGCATGTATATTTGGGTACACGAAAGCTCTGTTCAAAGTGGGTGCCGCGCGAGCTCACCACTGACCAATTACAATAAAAAAAAACAACAAATTGATGATTCTGAGCAGTGTTTGAAGCTGTTCGACCCTGAAAAACTCGAATTTATTCGTCGATGTATGACAATGGATGAAATATGGCTCCGTCACTTCACACAAGCAAAATGATTGTGGACTGCACATGGTAAACCAACTATTACAAAGTGTCATTGGTTATTGAAGCGTTTGAAGTACAAAATCGCGGAATAACGGCCCCATTGGAAAAAAAATAAAGTGCTGTTTCATCAAAATAATGCTTTGTATCACAAATCAATAAAAACAATGAATGGGCTTCTAATTGCTTCTGGATCCACCATATTCTCCAGATCTGGCTCCCAGCTACTTTTTATCTGTTGTCAGACCTCAAAAGAAGGCTCGCTAAAAAGAAATTTAGCGCCGATTAAGAGGCCGTCGAAACTGAGGCCTATTTTGAGGCTAAAGACAAATCGTACTATATAAATGATATCGGAAAACTGTATGACTGCTATAATAATCTTTATATCGCCCTCAGGGGCGCCTCAGGGCCGAAACCTTTTTCAGTTCAATTTTGATGGTATTTGTGGAGCTGCTAAATATATCAACCTGTTGATACATATTTCCATTTCTGAGCATTCGAGTGACAGGAGAGAAAAAACCATAATTTGTGGAGTGGAACGGTATTTTAAATGTTTCGGTACTGGCTCTGGTCTGTCTGTTGACATTCAAATTAATTAGAGATAAAATCTCCTCACAGTTGATGTTGCCAGTTAAAATTTTGCTTAAAAAAGATACATCTAAAATAATTCTTCTATTCTTTAAAGATAATAGATTCATCTGATCTCTAATGTTGTTGTATGCATATTCTCCCCTTCTTAGACCTAACTTGTATGCACAGATCCTCGAGAAAGTGTTTTGTACAGCTTCAATTTGGTTTATGTGTATTTCATAATATGGGCACCAAATTATTGAAGCGTAATTATTATAATTATAATACATAGGTTAGGTTAGGTTAGGTTAGGTTCATAAAATTCATAAAATTTTCATAAATGCAAATCATGTGAACATTATTTTATTGTAGACTTGAGGCAAGTACTGATAACCGAAAATACACTTTATTTTTTCTAGTAAATTTGTAAAGGTTTTTGTAAAGGTTTGAAAATGAAGTTTGTGAAGGTCAAATCGTTAAGTGTAGTTGTGACATTACTACTAATCTTCATCAAGGAAATTTCATATGTCCACCATTACTACGGATCTTCATCAAGTAATGGCCGATTCAATCAGAAAAAGATGTTTTAAATATTATATACTAATGTTATCCAAAAGATGTGGTTTAATTTTACATATATGCCCAGTAATTTTGAATAGTTTGTTTTTTAGTTTCATCTTCCTCTTGAAGATGATCACTTGGTGATCGAAACTCGTGTTGAGGTGTTAAAATAACGTGTTGAGGTGTTAAAATAACGGTTTGGTGTTGGGAAAAAACTCCAGTAATATTTATTCAAGGACTTAATAAAACCTGTTTGGTACCTGATCAGCTCACAATTACATGAAATTCAATACAAAAAAGATTATTCATGTATTTCACATCAGCCTATCTAAAGACAATTCATTTCCAATTATTAATCATCCGGAAAACCATTTTGAGAAATTAAAAAAAACATTCCAATAAGGAATTAATGAAAAAATTTTGGAACTTCATATTCAAATTGAGATTTGAATGATTAGAAAGAATTTTTTCACTCATTTCACTAAATAGTGTGAAGTGAAAAAACTTTGTAGGTAAATGATGGATCTGAAAATAAAACACTATGACTCATATATAAAGTGCATATTAACATATTAATTGATCCAACAAAAACAAGTTTGTTAGAAAAGAAAATCATAAAAATTAATAACATTAATGAAATATATAATTTTGGATGGTATTGCAAAAACTGTGAAATCAAGCAATAAAAAAATGGCATTTTCATTACATGATACAATTCATCAAGATAATTTTTTGAAGTTGTTTATATTTGTTGTAGTCGTAACATTTCTGTATAAACTACTGGTTTTGATAAAACCTTTATGAAATAAGCATTTTTGGCAGGTTTAAGATATATATTGTTACATATCTGTTGAACTCTTGAACATTACCAGATAAACTTTTGAATTTGATAAAACTTTTAGGGATGGAATATGATTTTCACAATTTCCACCTCAATTAAATCTTACACTGAGGAAATAATAGTAGGCAATAAAATGATGGACAACTTCACATAATATAAACGTTAAAATGAATTCTTTTCATTCCAATATTTCATCATGAACTATTTTCATCAAATTTGGTTGAAACTTACCTTTTATAACCTCTTTGTATCCCCAAAAAACTCATTTTTTGTTTACATTATTAAGTTTAATATTTAATTTTGATGTTGAACTTAAAAAAGGCTTCATCAAAATGTATATGTGATAGGTGTAAAAGAAGTAATATCAGAATGAAAATATGGAAATATATTTTTTTTATGAAGTTCTTTCAGTTATTCATAATATACCTTATTTTTTATTGAAATAAAAATGTGAAACTGAATATTTTGATTCAAAAAAATTACAGCTTATTTAGGAAATAAAAGTTTCTATAAAATATCCTGAATGAAAACCAAAGAAAACGGTTTTTCGGATTTTTTTGTGGAAAAATTGTTCATACAAAAGTTGTAGATCTTAATATTAGTTGCAACTTTCACATTACACATCTTTTAAATGTGAGCTGTAATTTCAGTGAAAAACGTGAAAAACCATTTTCCACCTCTAAAATTCACCCTGCTTCATCACTTATTCGTACCTAGGACCAACTTAAATTTATTTTTCCTGTTGTGTGCCCAATATTTTCTATGATTTCTAAAATTTACATTTAATTTTTAGACTTTCTGATGGCTTATGCTCTGGTTTATCTACTATATATCTAGAAATAATTTTCTAAATGATCCAACTTTTAGACTCAAGCTGAAAATGAAGCACACTGTAGATAATGTCTTAAACATTGAAAGTACAAATCAATTGGTATTTGACCAAACAAAAAATAATGAGTCCAATCAAGGGTATGTTTATGATATGTTCAGTTTGGTCACTTCCCTCATATGTGAACAAAAACTAATTAAACTTTCACGTTTTATATTTCAATACATCGCTAGAGGAACAAAAGCGATCACTTACTTGTAACTCTGCTCTATCGACTTCCCATTGCGATCTCTCCAATTCGAACCTAGCCCATTCATGTTGGATAAAATGTAATATTCCCGGTATGGAATAATGGGATTTCGGATTCACTTCATCGCTTTGTTTATTATTTCCAACGGAGCCGCTCTGAGGACCCATCTGACCACCATTTTGAAGGTTGAGGGAGTTGTCTTCCATTGTGTAGTCGGTTTCAAAAGTAGGAAATTTCATATGTCCACCATTGCTCTTCAAATCGCCATTTTAATTCGAATCGAACCAATCACTTATTACAGTTCGATAATATTATAACAAACACACAATTATTCACAAACTTATATTTTATGTTATTTAATAAACTATGTTTTAATTTTGATATTTCATACAAAAACACGAAAAAATATCTCACGCATCAACTCCCAACCAACCTCAACATCTGGTAAAATTTTCTTCTTTGTTTCTGTCAGAACCAGAGTAACATAAATTGCCATCTCTCTCTAAAGACCTAATGTACTTCTATTAAACATCCCCGCCCGTTTCCGTTTGTGCTACATACATTATGTTTGGAATTCAAAAATTGTATTCAAACATTTTTGTATATTGGTGGATACGTCAGTAAAAGTATATTTATAATTAATCGCTGGCATTGCTGTCAAGAAGTACCAGAAAATCAATATAAGGCGAGTTGGAGTTGAATGTATTCTGAATTTTGATAACAGATTTAAAAGGTTTATCTGTCAAATATAAAGGTTAATCTAGCGCCACAATAAAAAGAAATCTCCATTAGGTAAAGCTCAACTTCTCATGTTACAAAATTATCAATCAATGTAAATTTAATGTTATAAATATTAAATGAGAAATGATAATTAATAAGTATATCTATAAATGCACCCTCACAACTGTGAACTACCCAAAAGGGGTATTTTGATTTCGAAATGTACTTTAAGGTTGTGAAAATGTATTGGAATTGACAATGAAACTCCAATTAGTTTAATTTCTTCAAAATACAAAGCTAAAGATGGCAAATTTTTAGAACTGTCAAAAAACGTACTTGGCGATATCTGGCGGTGGAATGTTACTTACTTTCCCTCTGTTTCAATAGTTCACAGAAAGGGCCAGTCACTTATCAAAATTAAAGTATTGTGCTTATTAGGGATTTGTTTTATTTTCCCATATTTTTGTTTAATGATGGAGAAATGGAAAGCCTGAAACCTTTTATTCCAAAAACTAATTTCTTCTAAAAATATTTCCTATCCAATTCAACATAAATAGTCTGTGAAGAGAAAAATGTATCATACAACTTCAGTCATGATGAATAATTAATCATAATAATGATAATAGTTGACGTCTTTAAGAGATAAATACGCCAATTTGATTGGTGAAACGTGCGTCGAGAAGAAGATTGCATTTCTGGTGATTGATAAAAGTGATTGTTTTTAATTTATTCTACGCCTGAGGTTTCAATTTTACCTTTTATCCAGTTACATCAGTGGAATCCAATGTTAGATAAAGTACTTTGTATATTGATCATTTTCATTTGCAATCACAATATTAACAAATTCACACATTTGCTTACATATAATATGTACACATTTGATACATATTGTCGGTGTATTAAAGAATTTTTTGGATTATGTACAAACAAGACAGTATAGCGTGTTTGAGGTTTTCATGCGAGGTAATTGTTGTCTACAGATATTAAGTATGAATAATAATATAATACAAAAAATATTTTCCTTCCGGCAACACTGCGTGTGGTTGACACCGTTTGTTGTGTCACTAGCTGTCAACGAGTCGGGAGTCAATGGTCACCGATGACAGTTTGAAATTAATGAATGTGATTTCTGTTGTATTAAATTTATTTAATTATAGAGAAAGTTGAGGACTATCATCCTTTAAAGAAGGCAAAATGTCGAGTACTTCCCAAAAACATAGAAATTTTGTAGCAGAGCCTATGGGCGACAAACCTGTTACTGATTTAGCAGGAGTTGGCGGAGTTTTAGGAGAACGCTTGGTCGCTGCAGGGTTCGATAAGGTAAGGCAATACATATACATCTTCCTGAATGTTCTAGTAAAATTGTATCATTTGTTTTAATATTATTCTGCGGGATACAATGAATTTCCATTAGGTTTTGAGCAGTACTTGTACGCAAGACTTTATAGATTTTAGATTGTTAATGCTACTAGAAATGATAAAATCAGGCATCCTGTACACATTGAACAATTGGAATAACACACATCACGTATACTCAGAAATTTCACTGTTCAACAGGCTCTGGAGAATAATAATTAGACTTGTAAATGCTTTGAAGAGCCTGGAGTATAATTTAGAATGAAATGAAACGCGACAAGGAATATTCCAAATAGGCCACTCTTTACATTAGTTGTAAACTTGTAAGTAGTAATTGAACTTGGAGTGATTGAAAAATCCATAGGAAATAATATAGGCTACTGTTCAAATAGTTAAAATGATCGAGAAAAAAAAACAAATATAACAAAAAACATTTTCTTTTTCAAGCTGTCTGAAAATGAAACAATTTTAGTTAAAAATCATAAAATGTGAAAAATATAACATTATCATAGTTTTGATAATACACACTGTATGAATACTAATGAATCAAATTTATTTACATGAAACAGAACTAAATAAAGGTATGCGTTTTCATATGGTGTAACTAATGCACATTCAGTGTATTTCTGTCCTCTATTTCTCAATATAATAATAAATGATGGAAATACACTGAAAATGCACTATTAGCTTTACCAATGGAAAAAAATATTAAATAAAACATTCCATATAGAAACTGTTAAAGTGATTAATAAAAAACCAAGTAGGTAACTAAATTTGCTTTAATTTATTTGAACTATTTAAAATATCTCACTGCAGGTATATTGCCATATTCCATTTGACATTATTATTACCATGAAAAAGACAAACTAATAAAAATTTAATACTGATAATCTTTTGTATAAACTTTTCTTTGGTAGGGAACTCATTGCCACAAAATCAAAATTTTAAAATGTTGGCTTATTTCCCCAGTAACATCATTCTTATTCAATGAAAATAATTGAAAATTTGAACTAATTTTTCTATAACGACAATAACAATAAAGAGACTCAATGGCGACAAGTTTCGAATTGTCCTGGAATTTGAAACTAATAGCGCTCTGAAGCAATATAAAGCGTAGTGAAAGCCAAAAACATTTCTTTTCCAAAAACTGATCTCTCCTAAAGATACACCTCTTTCAATTTAAAGACATTTTCATATTCTGTAGATACATTAGTGTGTACCATTTCCACTACACTGCAGTCCAACTTTTAATGTTTACAGTACTTATTAAAATGATGTTTTGAAGTATATCAGAGTCAGTTTATGTTTATCAGCCATTCAAATCTTCATTGGGTTTTTTTAATCAAATCTAATTAAGTATCCAGACTGGGATTGGTCCCAATTGATTTTCTATGGTAACGTTATATTAAAATAGTTCATATGCCAAGAGTGATAAATATTTTACATAGGATTTGAATGTACTGTGAGTTTATGAAACGTTACAAACCCACAGGTAAAATCTACATGTTTTGACAATCACCCACAATAGAATTTGTCATTTCCTTCTTTTCTAGAAACGGACATTAGGTTTTTATTTCTATCAACTAGTCTTCCGAATTGAAGTCTCAAAACATTAATCTCTCCCAACGTAAATGTCTGATAGAAGACAGCTAATACGAAGAACTACTCTGAAATCAGAACAGTTTCAAGGTATTACCTCTCATCAGTGTAGGAAAGGTTATTGGGAGAGATGAATGTTTCGAGTTCCATTTCGTATTAGTTATGTATTTCTTCTTCAGTGTTCAGACCTATTTCGAAGTAGTCTTCTATTCTGACATTTTTTTCTAGGCATACGTAGTTCTTGGTCAGTTCCTTGTTTTGAAAAAAAATCAAGAATTCTTCAAAGACTGGATGAAGGATACCTGTTCAGCCAATTCCAAACAGTCATCAGACTGCTGGCAGTGCTTGAATGACTGGTGTGAAGAGTTTTTGTAATCTTAATAGTCGAAATAAGTAAATTAATTATTTGAATATATACTTCTAATGTAAATTGTCAGAAGGATTATAAAATATTTAAGAATATTTGTTTTGTAAATAAATTGTAAGGCAACTCTGATTTTTGGATTACATTTTGAAATATGATCTTATTCCAGCAAATAAAGTGTTCTTGGTAAAGGTGAAATGTTTTTTTGTGTCATCTTATCACTCTCAATAGTAACTCTCCGGATTCTTCATGTCTTGGGACGCTAAAATTTTTAGAATGTTTACCTGCCTTGATTTTTTTTAAGTTTTCCACCCCTATATTATACAATTGGTACTGTCACTTATATCCACATTTATTTTAATCCTACAATCTCTTACTGTTTTAACAGGCCCCTTGAAAAAGTATTACAGTGTAAAGCAGAAACAGTCCAATACCTCCTGAATTCTTTTAACTCCTTCCCAGTTCAATAAGTAGAGAATAGAACAATTTATAACAAAAGTCTTTCATAATGTTCATAATATTTCATCTCTTACATGTCGTGTGGAACACAAACTGCCCAAAAGCACCTAAAACCCAACTTCTTTTTGGTGAAGTTAGTATAAAACAATTTAAAGTATTCAACTATTGGAATTGGCATTGATGTAGTCGTTAGTATGTCAAGTCCCATCATTATCCTGCCCAGATGAATTCCGTTCTGAATTCCCTCATACATCGTTCTATAAGACTCACTGACAACCACAATAGATCTATACGTACTCACAGCCGCCTTTCACCAAAACGACTATCCCGTCTCCCAAATAGATAGATCCATCCAACGACAGCAAACACAAACCCCAACCCACGAGTTACCCGAGGAACAGACCCACCAGACAAAAGCTTTTCTCCCCTACATCCATGGAGTCACTGACAAAGTGAGCCGAATTCTGAAGAAACAACGTAAAGACAGTATTCACAGCCAACAACCAAATTTCCAATATGTTAAGAACATCCAAGGACACAAAACGCAATGAAGCACAGGGCATATACGAAATACCATGTTCAAACTGCCCCAGAACTTACATCGGCCAGACCAATAGAAGAATTTCCAACAGAGCTTATGAACATGAACTAGCTGTTCGCAAATCAGATCCAGCATCATCTCTTTTCAAACACCACTACGAAACAGGCCACACAATAAGCTTCGAAAACACCAAGACCATTGCTACGGAGAAAAATCTTCAGGTCAGGATAATTCGGGAAGCCAACTGCCATAACGAGTGAGATGATTCGCAGAGACTACCACAAACATGGAGGTCATTGATGTCACGCAAGGTACCTGAAAATAACACAGGTACCCGTTCAGGCAAACCAGATACCTGCTACAACAACATAAATATGGGCCCCGAACAACAGAGTAACCAGTACGAACTTAGAGTGGAATATAGCAAACATAGAACTAGTAACGAGACTTGGGGACAAGGGAGATTACGACCTCGTCCTCGAGTCATGTAAGTACAAATCTAAGTGTGTGTTCCACTCTAAGTTCGAACTTAGAGTGGAACACAGCAAACATAAAACTAGTAACGAGACTTGGGACAAGGGAGATTACGAGTCATATAAGTACAAATCTTATCGAGTGGGTATGATTTAAAAATCAAAAATGAAACAATTAGTGGACACAACACTCCAAAAGTGGGACAAACCGCGGACACGTGGGGTATATCAAATCATTGCATATTGCATAAACAAACATTGTGACTTAACTCTTCAATAACATTCCCAAAAAAACTTGCACATTCTATAATTTAGTTCACAGATTTAGCGTAAGATAACTTTTATCTCTGGCACGTTTGATAAGGATAACTCTTGAGTAATACATACATCAGATAATATATGGCAAAATCAACTTTGTAAACGTATATATCCAACTATTCTTGTGTGTTTTTTTTTCTCAGTGACATCATATAGGTCGGTACACTTTAACAGTCGACACGAACTGCAGCCAAGCAACTGAAGCAATGACATTGAAACCAAAAATATGGAAAACAAGCGAAGATGGTAAGTTGAAATAAATCTTAGTCATTAGTATATCTTATATTATTTTCTCATTCCTAATTATCAACTATAAACGGTCCATCAACTCCAACCTTCAAGATTGTGTATTTATTAAGTAACCCAAATAATTTATCAACAACTCAATCGCTAAGATAGCGATAGTTCATAACCCAAAATCGATAATACATGTACCTATACTGAATGGAATAAAACTTTTGGTTGACCATTTTACTAGATTTTACTTGATTTAGTTAATTTTTTCCAATACCTAAGTTTATAATTAATGTTATGACAGACTAAAACCATATGAGTAATAATTACGTATCCTGCTTTCACTCAATTTAGATTGCCCTCACTGGCTCAATCGAATATATATTCGAGGTTCGAAGATCAGGGCTCACTGGAGATAATTACCTATAGTATATTCTATGATAATATCCTATTTACGAGGTCTGTTAATAAATAAAGTGAATGTTCAAATTTCGCGGGCTATACGTACATTCGATAGGTGATTTTTGTTTTTGTTTTTAATGTTGGTACACTCGCTTCGAACATATGTTCATAGTTTTAGCTGTTTAACATGTTTAGTTTGTTGGTGAGAGGCACAAAAGTTAAAGGTGTTTTGCCTGTTCGGTGATTTTCTGCTATCGAAAAAAATAGAATAAAGAATTGAGTGCTCAATACACTTGAAATGTTGGCAGTGGCATACGTTGATTGTACTTAGATTCAGAAAAATATTGTCACATAAGGTCGAGAAGATGTGAATGACGCTCACCCTGAACGCCTCAGGGTGGTCAAAAAACCATCTCATCAGCATCGCTCAGGATTTGTTAAATGACAAGGGCGATCCAAACTTGAATAAAAGCGTATAAGTTGTGACGGAACATGAGGGTATATGATTGACATCGAAAGCAAAATCCAATCGTCCCGATGGAAGAGCCAGAAGAGCACGACAAGTTCGACAGGTGTCAAGGTTTTGCTCACTGCTTTCTTCGATTACCGTTGCGTAGTGCATTTGGGGTTCTTGCCACATGGTCAAGATAGTTATCTTGAAGTTATGGCCGAAAACAACGCCGTAATCATGCTTCAGCCGCGGTTTTCACCATATTTGCCCCCCTGCGACTTTTTCCTGTTCCCAAGTTGGAAAGCCCCATGAATGGATGGTATTTGATGAGGATTGAGGAGATGAAAACAGAATCGCTGGGAGAGATCGAAAACATACCAAAAAGTGCATATCAGAACTTCTTCGAGGATTGAAAAAACGCTGGCACAACTGTAATATATTTGAGGGGGACTACTTTGAAGGGGACAAAGTTAAAATTGAGGAATAAATAAAAATTGTCAGAGAAAAATGAAAATTCCCTAATTTTTTGAACAGACCTTGTACATTAGAAACCGCTAGATCTAATTATTTCATATTATTCTTTCATCAGATAGAATGTGTCATGGATCATAATAATGGAATGAATTATAAATTCCATACCAAATAAATGAGGTATCAAATGCAAACGTTCGGACACGTCGATTGGTATTTTTGTACATTTATGTACATTTTTCAGTAGTATCTTGACTTGCAACACTGACATATGACATATAATATTAAGAAGAAGATATAAAGAGAAGACTTTCGGAAGTCGAAACTTGTTAAGAATTAACGAGGTCCCACTTTCTAACGTACGAATCCTAGCATTGTAATTGAAAAATTTCAAATGCATTGTTCTGGTCTTTTAATATAGGTATATTTGGCACACGCGAAGTTGATATTGTTTGTCCTATGACTTCAACAAAGAGTAACGTATTTTGATAGTTGACATTGTTGCGTATTGTATTGTAGTAACAACCCAACAATATAAGCTTCACATGCACCAGATACAGCTGTTATATGTCCCAAATACTAAATCATTTAATTAAACGTGGTAACATTTCAATTACAATCACATTGAATATACGCTTTCTTCTTAAAACTTGCACAATAATTTTTATATGAATATCGCCATTTATTTAGTAAATTTTAAGTGTTTTAATTTATTAACATTGACAATCAGTTATTTATTCAACGAGCAAGAAATATTGCCATTATGATGGGCGAGTAGATTACTGTACTTTTTCTATGACGTATTATAATAACAATATGTTTTTGAAATAAGATTTACAACAAGAAGCAACTTAAAAAACATTCAAAAATATTTCCATCGGCCTTCAAGTCTAGAGGAATAACAATATCAATTTCCAAGAATTATAACTCGGCAAAGGTTAGGAAAAGTTTGGTTGGTGTGCGAACAAATGGGGTCTAACTATTTTGCAGGTCATCAAATTGTTTTCAGTAAACATTGCTCTTGTAAACTTGTGGGAAAGCTGAAATTCTTGCAGGTCCAGGTGGCCTAGATAAAGAACTCGGCCAGGCTAATCATTTCCGGCTGAAAAATATCGGGTTTAAAGATTCAAATATCTCATGAGAATGAAAATAAACCTTGCAGGTCGGGTCTTCCACATTTGTATCTTGACCAGAAAGCAAAACAGCAGAAGTATCGAAATGTTGGAAATAACTTTATATTTCATCCTGTGGCTTTAGAAATTTTCGGTATATTTGGTAATGAAATTGCAGAAGAAAGAAAAAAAAGTACCACCTTTCTGATCCAAAAAATTAATATAGCTGTACAGCGTGGTAATTCAGCTTCTGTTTTTGGCACTATTCCCTGGTCATATTCACTGGATGACATTTTTCTTCATCTCCCCCCCCTATGCCCCCTCCCGGGTTGAGTGCCCTGAAGTAAAAACTTTGTCCCACAATTAATTTGCGAGGAAAACTTAATACCCCACTCCATCCACCCCCGCTCTCCGAGCGGTCCTCAACTTACTGATGGGCACTTCAGCAAGATTGTCATCTGACCTCTTTTGGTCGAAAGTCAGCCTTTAGGTGCTTAAACTTTCTGATCGGTTAATTGTTTTATCATGACTATTCCTAACTGAATTTTTGCATGGGGGCCTTCAGAAACTAACCGGCGGCTATTGTTGTTAGCGTCGAGCTTTCCTCAGTGAATCTAAGGAAAAGTGAATCACGGTAGCGGTCGAATTGTTCTGCGTTGAACCTACCTGAAAGAGAGTTTATCTGATTAGTTTTATGCTTACCTGTGTCGCCTGACGGCAACTCGCAGGGGTGGTCGTTGATTTTGCTTAGTCGGTCTTGGATGTTTATCCCTTTCTCGGAAACTGGGGTCATCCATATTCAACGCATCGTGTAGATCGCGTAGCGCTAGGTTGTCGTGCGATCTGATTCTATCGAACACGCTTTCTGCGTGTTTTCTCATATACACGTCCACATATTGCGTGTCCAGGTCTGGGTCTCTGTATATATATCTGTTTGGGATGTAGTGAGGTGCGTTTACGGCGTCCCTTACGCTCGCGTTCATAAACGATTGTATCTTCTTTCTGTATGTCTGTGCGCACTGGCCCCAGACAGTGCAGGCATACAGTATTATGGGCATGAGCACGGTTTTAATCATCAGCAACTTTACTTTCATCCGCATGTTGCTTCTGCGTACTATAATTGATGCCAAGCGTTGTCTGGCGTGTCTAGCCATTCCGATTCTCTGCCGTACGTGAGACTGAAATGTTAGTTTCCTGTCTAGGATGACCCCCAGGTATGTCGCTTTGTTGGTCCACGGAATCTCTTGTCCGTTGAAGGTGACGCCTTCCAGTTGTACAAGCCTGCGAGTGAACAGTATCGCCTGACTCTTGTCAGAAATACATAAATACAGGAAATAACTTTATATTTCATCCTGTGGCTGTAGAAATTTTCGGTAGGTATATTTGGCAATGAAATTGCAGAAGAAAGAAAAAAAAGTACCACCTTTCAGATAAAAAAAAATTAATATAGCTACTGTTTTTGGCACTATTCCCTGGTCACATCCACTGGATGAAATTTTTTTTATCTAATTGTTTCCAGATCATATTCATACCCCAGACTTATTAAGAGATTGACTCCTCATGAAACCTCCCATATTTCTTGTGATACTCTCCATAAGTTCCCACCAGAAGATATAGAGAAATATAAACAAGTTCTGGAATTGTATTCTTCTCCCAAATTCAAAATGTCTGCCATATCCAATTCAGTTTTCAGCAGTTTAGCTTCGAATTCCTTATCCCATCGATTCAATGATGGGGTGTATCATTGCATCCGTGATTACTCAGAAGAAGACAGCAGTGGCGAACGTAGTATCGACATTTACAACACTAGATCGGTGATTCATTCTTCAGTCAAAACTCATGGGTTTCATTAACAGTGTAATCCAATGTTTATCAAACACGAGATGGATGCTGGAATATTTCAAAAAAGGATACATACATGGAAGATATCAATACTAAAATTTCTAGTATGAAAGATGCTTGAATCAAAGCGTTCGCAGAAGTTATCAAGGAATTGTGGTCAGAAGATTCGTCTGTCTACTTTAAAAGTCAGATTAGTAATTCATTTGAAAAGATTCTCTCCTACGGAAAGATTCAGAAGTAATTTAAATGTTGTCATTGACTTTTTTTAGAAGGATTAGATATGAGCAATGTGACTCCTTGTCGTCGTAATCTATATGCACCTTCGAATCACAGTAGGACTACCGTCAACGGGCATTACACATCGCATTGCAGATACCCAAATAGTGGCACGTGGCATGAATACAACAACTCACACGTGTCCCCAATTTCACCAAAATAGCTTGTTGGTAAGGTGGCATATGTCCTCTTTTATGAACAGGAGGGAACGAAGCCGCACCTTCGAGGTGATTTTTCCCCTTCTTTTTCTTTATAAACCAGAATAATCATTACCGACAGAAAAATTTCTAACGTCAAACCATGTATGAAAAATTTTTACATTTCTCGTGAAATTGAAAATAAACCTCGGCAAAAATTCTTGCAGGTCGGGTCTCCCAGATCAATCAATTCCGACAAAAAAATGTCCCACTCTTCGAGTATGAAAAAAAATTCACATGCATCATAAAATTGAAAATAAACCTTGCAGGTCAGCCGAAATTTTTGCAGGTTGGGTGTCCCAAATGTGAATCTTGACTAGACCCCCACCCTTTTAGTATGAAGCCCGACCTGCAAGGTTTGTCAATTTTGTGAGACACGTTAAATTTTTCTATGCACAGAGGAAAGGGGTTGATTTTTTTAAAAGAAATTGAATAATCTGGTCAAAATTCTTACCTGGGAAGCCCAACCAGCAAGAATTTCCGCCGGCCTGCAAAGTTTATTCTCGATTTTGTGAAAAATAAGACATTTTTTCATATCCGAAGGGTGAGGGTTTGAAATTTTTCCGTGGGTGAGGGTTTGAAATTTTTCCGTGGAAAATGGATAATCTGGTCGAGATTCATATCTGGGAGACTCGACCTGCACTACCGACATGCAAGGTTTATTGTCAATTTTATGAGTTATGATCAATTTGGTCGAGTTATTTATATGGGAGGCCGACCGGCAAGAATTTCAGCCTTCAGCGGCGGCTCGTCAGAGGAGGCAAGGGAGGCTTGGACTACCCATAAAATTTGAGGCTATTCATCGCAATAAATTAAAAGATATTGACAAATAATTATGATTATTTTTTTCTAAAAATGCTTGGTTATCATTACTTTACCATTAATTTTTAATATGAATGCATAATATGCCCGAAAAAACACTATCACTCACTACGTAGTATGTACCACACTGTATCCTGCATCAACAAAACTCAAACGCACCGCCCATGAACGAATAAATCATCAACCCGAAATAATAAATGCCATACGTTGCAAGGGAGCCAAACCTCCGACCGCTTTAAAATACACAGGCTCCACGAGACCGATCCACGCAGAGACATACGTCCAGATTTGTAATTTCAGTTGCAGAAATTACAGCGTTAGAGGAGGCTAGCCTCCAGTTGGTCTCCGTTAGTGTACGACTGTGTTTGTTTTTTATTTAATTATTCGAACGGGATGCCGTGACGGACTGGGACTGAAAAATATTTCGGTAAATCGTTTTTGTGTTTCTTGATAATATTTGTTATATGTGTATAAAACAGGCAGTATTGTGCTTTTTGGTAATATTTTTAAAGTGTTTTCTTTCAATTTCAAGGTGTATTCAGGTTTTCACTTCTCGGTAATTTTTTTTCATTTATTATGGATAAGTACAACGAAATTAAAAAATCTGATAATATAGTCGATTGGTTGCTGACAAATTTAAGTCTTCATCTTATGATAATAAATTTTACATTACTAAAACACTGGGAAGGCCTCAACCAAATTTGATTTCAAATAAAACGTCAGATAATCGACAAAATCGAATATTTAATATTAGTTGGTACGATAAATGCGATTGGTTAACCGGTTCCATTAAACGAGAAAAACTTTTTTGTTGGTCCTGTGTTTTATTTTCCGTACAAACCAAATACCAAACATGGTCTAAAATAGGATACTACGATTTAAAAAATTTACCTCGTTCTACAGAAAGACATTTTAAATCTAAGGAGCATATATTTTCGTCTTGTAAATTAAAATTGTTTGGCCAACAAAATATAGCAACAGCTTTAGATACAGCTCAAAAAGAGGCCATAATTTCTTTTAATAATCAGGTTATGGAAAATCGGTCGAATTTAAAAAGACTTAATTATCGATATTACGATTTAGAATTAGCTTTTCGTGGGCACGATGAAACCGAAGATTTGATTAACCGCGCCAATAACAAAGAACTTTTAATGTTATGGGGCAAATATGATTCACAATTTGGCACTTTTTTAAACGGTAGCGTTTTTTCGGGCACCTCAAAAACCATCCAAAATAAGCTTATATACAGTGTGGCATATATTATTAAGGAAAATATAAGCAAGGTGATTGAAAGTGTTTCTTTTTCTGCATGGGAAATTGATGAAACCACCTATATTACCTGTACATCACAACTTTCAATCGTTTTTAGATATGTCAAAGATGGTAATGTGGTAGAACGTTTTATGGGTTTTCATGATGTTTCATCTGAGCGCACAGCTGACGATTTGTTTAATTTTTTAATTCGTACGTGCGACACCTATAATTTTAGGCAAAAGTTAATTGCGCAAACCTATGATGGGGCTGCGGTCATGGCCGGAAATCTAAATGGTTTGTTTACAAACTAAAATAAAGTCCATAGCTCCTCATGCACTTTTTACGCATTGTCATGCCCATGCCCTAACTTTAGTATTAAGCAAAGCGTGCAACAACATAAAAATGTATATAGTCTTTATGACTTTAGCCTCCCCTGTTCTCCAATGCACGAGCCGTCACTGGCTGGTCTGCAAAATAGTTCTTCCACAACAAATGTTGTAGGGACCTCAGTTAGGAACAGACCATATAACAAAAACGCATTGAATGAAATAAATAACACCCAAGGAATGACAACGGTTAGTGTTAATAAGCATTTTCATCAAGTATCGGCCAGTTCTATCCAAAATGACGTCACTCTAAACTCAATATAATAGCCTCCCATAATGGCAAGAAACCAAATGTCTGCCTGTTCAAATTTAAAGAATTATAACTCCTCAAAGGTTATGGAAAGTTTGGTGGTGTGAACAAATGTAGGGATGAAATAAATAGGCTATATGTTCAGCGATAACTAAAAGTTCAAAAATAAATTACCTATTAGTGAAGAAACTTTTTTAATAACGTACTTTAATTTACCTACACGCTCTAAAAACAAAAAATAAACTCTGAATCGAATGAAACCCATCAATTCATCACATTACACAATTTATATAATACAAGAGCTTGTGAGATCTACCTATGTATAAGGATAATTGATTAATTTTGTTATGTTGCAGGCACAATAGATTTTATTTCCCTTACCACTGAATATCTTGAGGAATCTCTAGAGATATTGAAAAACAGTTTTATAGCTTCTGAATATGTGTCTGTAGCAATTGGCCTACCTGGTAATGATGCAGCCATTTTAGAATTGAAAGATCTAGCTTTGCGAATCGTCTTCGATGGAGTGTCCGTTATCGCAGTAGATCGAAAAACCAATAAAGTGTGTGGTATTGCCTTCAACAAAATAGAGGTATGTTTCCCTTATCTCCTTCACTCACTCTCAAAAAATTGAAATTTGAGATAATGAAATTAATGCATGAATACTTTATTTTAAAGTGAAATTGACAGATGAAACTTTCAAGATGGCAATATAGGTACAGTGCATTTCTTCAATGCCCCCCCTTTTATTTTTTGAACTGGTCAAACTCAAGAAATTGAAATTTGAGATAATGAAATTAATGCATGAATACTTTATTTTAAAGTGAAATTGACAGATGAAACTTTCAAGATGGCGACTGGGCGCTATCTGGAAAAAAATTAAATGGAAAGGGGGGCCTTGTGACATCTTTTTGAAGCTCCTGACAAATGCTTCACATCAATATCTTCAACTACTACAAAATGGCGGAACTTTTAATAATTGCCTGAAAACATTGACATTTAACTACATAATATGATGAGGTGATAAGCTTGTGGTCAGTTAAGAAGATGCTTGAAATGGTTGCCTTGAACTTCTTGACATATGAACAGCCTATCCGATATTTCACGCCGAACATTTTCGAATACAGTAACGTCAATATCTCTACAAATATTTATTATTTTCTGCCGTATATCCAATATTGAAGCATGTTCAGTTTCGTACACCTTTTGCTTCAAATAGCTCCTTAAAAAAATCCAAAGGTGTCAAATCTGGCGAGCGGGCTGGCCATTCTGTAGGACCTCGACGGCCAACCCAACGACCGGGAAAAGTAGTATCCAAATAGTTTCTTACTTGTCTGGAGTGATATGGTAGTGCTCCATCTTGTTGGAATACAATATCCATATCGAATTTATTAGGATTCGCTTCGACGATTTTAGTGATAAGAGGATCAACAGTAGTTTCCAGCATATTAAAATACAGTTCCCCTGTTGAATTTTGATCAATAAATAGAGGTCCTACAATATGGTTTCTCAATATTTCTGCCAAAATGTTAATTTTTTCTGGAAATTGGGTATATGTTTCACGGAAAACGTGAGGGTTGGTGTCACTCCAATAACGGCAAGTTTGTTTGTGGACATTGCCGTTTAAAAAAATGTACATTCGTCACTAAAACAAATATTGTGGAGATAGGTAAGATGTCTTGCAAAGGTTTCCCTCATGATTTCGCAGAGTTCTGTTCTTCGATCAGGGTCATCTTCAGTGAATTGGTGTAGGTACCTTTTTAATTTTGTATGGATGATACCTATTCCTCTTCAGAAGTCTCCACACAGTAGAAAGAGACGCCTTACAAACATTCGCGACGGAATAAATGTAGACTGTTCAGGATTTACTACCATCTCACCAATTATTTGCATTTGCTGTTCTTCCGGAATGGATGACCTAGGGGCTTTTAGTTATGTATAGGTACTACCGGTAGTTGTGAATTTGGATACAAGTTGCCTCAAATAGTTTCTACAGATAGGACGATTCGGAAAACATTCATTGAAAATCCTTTCAGTCTCGTGAGTTAGCGTCGCACCGTTAATAAAAATCGCTTCATTTTTTTCTTCCAATGGACGAGAATTGACCATTTTACAGATTGTTGACGTGGTAAAACCGAAAACTAAATGAGAATATTCTAACTGAACAAAAATGTTTATTGTCGTACTGAGATTTTTTGTCGTTTTTATAAACAAAAAATAACTTAACAAACCTAATCGGGTTGTTGGAATTGCCATATGGTAGATAAAAACGAATATTTCTATAAATATCGGTATTGATGTGTGTTTGTCTTCAGGAAATTATTAAATGTTCCGCCATTTTGTAGTAGGTGAAGATACTGACATTATATTCTAGGGTTGTGAAGTATTTGTCAGGAGCTTCAAAAATATTGTGTTACAGGACCCTTTTCATTTAATTTTTTTTCCAGATGGCGCCCAGTCGCCGTCTTGAAAGTTTTATTTGTCAGTTTCACTTCAAAATAAAGTATTCTTGCATTAATTTCATTATCCCAAATTTTAAGTCGACCCGTTCAAAAATGAAAGGGGGGGGACATTGAAGTAATGCAGTGTATGCATCCATGGATGATAGAATCGGTGTTCAGTCTTCAGTCACTGTTGTGAACGCCTCCTGGTACGAACGTCACACGTGACGTTCCGATCCAAAAAAGGATCGTTTTGGTTACGCAAAACCAAATAATAATCCTCTAAACGTGACAATTTCTGCCTATAGTTCAAATTGTGGGGCACCAGTTTTTCGAGATTTTTGACCTTTCCAATACGTTTTGAACCATCAAAAATCACATGGTAGTTAATTGGACCAACAACATCCCTATCAGTAGTTTCGATCATTTCCACCAATTTTTTTATATTCCAACTGATATAAATTACTTCATAAACTGAACTCATGAACATATCAAACTTGTTTATTTATAGGTTGCAAATGATCCTAAGGATGCCAAATACTACGAGGATTACTTCAAAAAATGTAAAGAATCATCGGCCAAGGCTATGCTGCAATTCATGGGAGAACTAGAAGCACGCTTTAACTTTTTTGAATACTGTAAAGTGGACTGTGTATTAGAAATTGTGTTTCTGGCAACCCACCAGGAATTCATACGAAAAGGCATTGCCAGAGGTCTCTGTGAAGCATCAATAGATTTATCAAAGGAGCTAGCAAAGGGTAACAATGTTAAGACATCAGTTAATGGAGAAGAATTGAAGTTGGAGCCGAAGCCTGAAGTAGTTACCGCTATATTCACATCACCATATTCTCAGAAAATCGGTAGGGCTTTAACATGGGAGAGGGCATTTACCCTAAGCTATGAAGAATTCTCCCATGAAGGTAAGACATTTTCCAGCATCCTGGGAGGGGATCAAAAATACATGACGTGTGAGTTCAAGAGGATCTGAACTGATTTTTTTCATTATTGCAAAATATATAAACGGTATTGTAATAACGATCATTCCTACAAACATTTAACTGAATAAAAGTTTCAAGAACTTTTTGTTTTGATACCATTTCAAAAGAAAATTTTGTTTCGAGTATTCCTTATTAATCATTTTTGTCTATTTCATGCAATTTCTGCAAGACACTCATTTCTAATTCTGAAATTACTAACACATCCATTCTATAATAATAATTCAACACCTCAGTTGCATGATGGGAATAGAGGTTCCTTACACAAGGTGCAGGGCCTGCCGCGAGGCGTCCGAGACTCTAATGCACTTTCTATCAGCATGTCCAGCACATGCGGTCTTGTCCTATATCCATCGATATAACGCGGCCCTAAGAGTGCTTTATTACCATTTACGGCACTCTTACGGTAGTGACGAAACACCGGTGTTGCCCAACGCATCGGGGGATATTGAATTTATTGTGGGGAACGAGAAGTGCCGAATTTATTGGAACTATTCGTTCCCACCTCGGACGATATTTGTCGTGTAGTTTTCAGCTCCTGGCGAGACGAATATTGTCCGAATAGAGGAGGAAAAACGGATTGAATATCGAGATTTTCTCTTCGAACTCCGCAGACTCTATCCTGACCACTCTGTCAAGATGGTTGTTCTGATTATTGAAGTCCTTGGTGGAATAATGCACTCTCTACTCAATCTGCAGATCTTGCAGACCACCTGACAGAACTATGTGTTCCCATCCATTATTCAAATATCAACTATAGGATAGCACTGTATTTAGAAAATTATGTGGATCTCCAAAATGTAACAACATACAGGATGTTTCGTTTGATAATGGAACGTTGATGATATTTCCCTATCAACATACAGGATGTTTCGTTTGATAATGGAACGCTGATGACATTTCCCTATAACCCAATTCAAGTCTCTCTCAGCCTCTTCGTGAGCCATTTCAGAGTTTCGTAAAACTAACTAAAGAAATGATTAGGAAAAGGAGGTGTACGATAATTTTGTGCCAGTCCGTATAATTTATGAAAGAGTTACGAAATAAAATTCCACTTAACGGAACTTTATCGTCCTCAATGGTGGACTTCAATGTTTCGGAATAAAACACATACATGTCTTATTGCCTCATCAGCACCTTTTTTCTATCTTCTAGCTAGGAGGAAACTGCTGAATGATCTGAAGTATTATAGAGATAACAGATATATCACTAATTTTTTTAATCAGCAGATGTTCATCAACAAGACTGCATTGGGGATATCAATAATTCACCACAAAAAGTATCATTTTACTTGAAAATACACTATTGAGAAAGTTTATCTGCATTATCGTGAGATATATGGATTATCATGTAAATAGAAGAGGTCTAGTATCTAGTGAATTGATCTGAAATTCTCAGAAACTCTTTTCACTTGAAATAATGAAACATTATATCACAGAATCATTTAATAAATTATTAGACAAGCTTTGATAAAAACTTATACGTTCTAAAATAGAACAGTTATGTCACATAACAAAATATTCAAGTAAAAGAGCAAAATAAGCCCCAAAATTCTACTTCTTAAATCATTCACGAACCTTTTATCTTCAAAATTTTCACTGGTAATAAAGTCGTCATTTCTTTGCATATTCCATATTCCATAGATATCAAATTCTTCGCCTCGTCATTTCTATCACAATAACTAGTAACGAAGTTATAATTCTTCAAACTAGCCTCTGTATTTTTGAGCTGCATCTCCTTATCCAAAGTTACAAACCTTCCATAGAGCGCAGCTACATGAAAGTATGCTTGTAGGAATGCTTTCTCAGCATCTTCTTGTAACTTGGAAGGAAAGTCACCAGTTACAGAGTCCTTGAAAGAATCTATGAAGTTGGAGTAGTGAAATATTGCTTTTTCAACCAAATTGTTAACTTTGGTTAAGGCTTGAGGAGTGGGACGCTCTTTGGTATTTCTTAATTTTTCACTTTTTATATCAAGTATATCAGCATAGGTTCGAGCTAGTTCAAACCAAACTTTTCGGCAGTACTGTAAGTAGTACTTTGAGTTCACCCTGTTGAGTATGTTTTCTAAAAGATCAATCCTTCTCTTGTGCAATTTGGCCTGGTTGTCTGGATTTTCTTCGAAAAAAAGGAGATTCAGATATAACTGTGTCTGATCTAAAACTATTTCTATATAATCTGAAGCTAGAGTATCCAGAGCATAATATTGTTGAGCTTTGACCGACCACTGGTGGGCATTTCGAAATACTTTTCTAGCATCATCTATAGTCAGGATAAACTTATCTGCGATTTGGTTTTCATGAGATGAAACATCGATTCCTTCAAAATCCAGATGGCTCAAGTCATCTGTAGAAATCGTAGAATCTGAAGTTAGTTTCAATTTTGACAAATCACAGGAAAGGGTACACTTCTCATGTATTTCTTCAGTGTGATGAAGAAGCCTTTCCTTGGACTTTGAGAGCAGACATATTCCATACTTGGTCCAACATCTAGCCACATCAGCGCTCCTGTGTTTGAACGTTTCAATAAGAGCATCATGAGCTTCATTTCTTTCAGTCATTTCGTTCAATTCCTTTTCGTATTTCTCCAGTATGAAAGAGCTTGCAGCCAAATGATGACGTGCCTGCTTGAAACCATTTTGTTCCATAAAGAATTGTGATAAAGTTGCGGCATTGAGTGCCCAGTCTATTGGATCATAATCAGTCATTTCCAGTTGTCTCTGTAATGTTATGTGGCAATATATGGAACTTTTCAAGGCATCTTTCATCACACCATAAATCTGAGCAAGGTAATAAAGTGTGAAAGTGTAAACTTTCTCAAAATTTTTCTGTGATACAGCCGAATCAGAAGTTTCCAAGTTGACTTTGAATAAATCACTAATGTCTATGGGTGGTGTGGACTTTTCTTTATAATGCAGATACAGTTCTTGTGCCTTATTTAAATAAATCTTTGATTTTTCAGGTTCCCTTTGTGACCATAAAATACCAAATTGGTTGTACATATTCATGGCAACAAGTATCAGTTCTGGTTCCATTTCATATTGCTCTATAACCTCTTTACATTTTTCCAAATGTTTTTCTCCTGTGGACAGTTCTTCGGTATCTATTGATACCATGCCCAAGTATAAGTATACTGCTCCTAACATTGCTAGAAAAAAAAAACAATATATGTAATTAATTTACCATTGAAAATATCTTATTGACACACAGACCAGCTGATGTGACATTGAAGGTAATTCAGCTAAAACAGTTTCATGTTCTGAACACCTAAGACTATACCCGAAGTAGGCTCGAACTTTGTTATTTTAAATGTAATATCCTACAGTTTATTTTAGATTCAGATTCTACAGAAAGTTCTGGGTGCATTTGAAATCACACATTACTTATCTAGCTTGTATAATTCCTAAAATGCATTTGATTCCCATACTACCTAAATTTCATAATTTCTGTACTTATACTTTTTGCAATATCTATTGAATCAATTCTCAGAGAGTCCCCCTGTATAGACTGAGAAACAGTAAGATAATGCTTCATGATATTCTCACAAGGAATAAGGATATACCTCATTGAGAACTCATAAATTTATATCTTTATGATATCATATTCTAAATTCTTGAATCCAGTATATTGGGAGAATTTAAACTAATTTATGAACACCTGATAAGGATACAATATTGGTCTTTATACGTCAAAGCTATTTTCCGGATTTGCTGGCTGTGATCTACAAGTTTTTATGTGTAATGTTTTATCTAGAACTGCGATTGACATTATCAAATGCCATAAAGGGATGAATGCAGTCACACAGTGCTCTAGTTGTCCTTAGAGAACACACTGTTGTATTTTATTATGTGTGTACAGGGATTATCAGAAGTGAGGCCATCTTTTGAAATATCGGCAGAATTTATTATAAAAAGTTTTCCTTATTGCAATTTTTATGCCCTATGCAAAATTTTAGCTGTAGAAGATAAATTTGATTCTTAGCCCATTTTCCGTGAAATGCACTACTATTACCAAATAAAAGGATCAAAAGATACTTAAAGCATCCTGGTGTAGATTAGTTTTGGACATGCTTTATTTCAGACACTTATAAAGTTTATTTGTTTTTGACCCTATACAAGATAACTTCATTAAATATAGATATGTTTTTGCAATATAGATATGTTTATGCAATTTTGACTGAGAATGAAAAGTCTTGAAGTATAATAGAGACGAGCACATACACAGTGTCATTAGGAAATCTTTTGAAACCATTTTCTCAAAATTAGTATTATAACATTTACTCTTTGGTTGTGGGTGGTTTTGAACAGTAAGGATGATTTTGAATGATGCAAAAAATATTTTATTAGTGAAAAACAAAGTTAAACTATTAATTGATACGCTTTCAGTGACTGCAGTGACCTCCTCGCTCGTCCCTTTCCATGGGCAGCAGGTAGAAGGTCGGGTAGATTCCGCTTTCGGGATATTTGGATCGTTACAGTATCATTTTAAATAAGGTTGCACATGGGGGTTTGTTATTTTTTCTGAAAATACATCAGTGCTCTCTACCAGCAGCAATACTTACCAGTTAATTTTAACTCGCACATAGTTTCTGTCGATTGATTTCTTCTAAGATTTTCTATATTTGCTTTCATTCCAATGAGAATTTGTCTGGCAGAATATTTAGAGAGGTAGGGTTCTGTTTCTGGATCTAATTTACTATCTTCCTCCAGTAACTTGATAACTTTTTCATACTTCTCTTGCAAGTCTACAAAAACTTCTTTTTTTATGGTCATTATCGTAAAATATTTATACGAATGTTATAATTAATTATGTTGTCATACAAATACACCAAATACTATTGGTAATTATAATACCACAACCACGGCAGACAGCACCCTATAGAATTAAACTTCTATAGTGTGACCACAGTATAAAATCAAAGCATGTATACTTGTGAACAAAGCTTGTGATTATACTTCTCTCTCTCCTTGCCTCTCGGTTGCATCTGACCAACTCTCTCCTATCAACCATGCGGGGGCGCAGCAGTCTTGCTCGCGCCAATGCTGCTATCCCCTGGTTTTTTCACTAATTTTTGTTTATTTGAAAAAATCAAAATTTTTCAAGTTCGCCTACTCTTCGAAAGGCCTTTTTCCACATAAAGGGCCTCCTTGATGTGGTTATCCGACCACCGGCGTGAATAAAAGTGGCTTTCACTTCAATTTGACATGTATGTGTTACTTTGATGACGGACATTCACTACACATAGGCGGCCGTTTTCGGCACGTCCGTGCACTGCCACCACTGAACTCCGTAACTCTGTGTTTATACCTGATACCATTCACCAGTTTACCGCTCAAAATTTTCAATTAAAATTCTAAAGACAGCAGCTGTCTCCCCCGAATAGGTAAATAAGTGACGTCATTTACTGCATGGATTTACGTCATCAACTAATCCAGCTTTTTAAATAAACACCTAATTTTCAGATAGGTTGACTGTAACATAGTAGTTTACAGTTCAACTGTTTACAATTTCAGTTACATTTTTCATTGATAAATCTTTCATTTAACGGAGGCGCAGGGAGCCATATATTTTCATTTTTGTTTCCCATATGTTTAAAACTCAACAACTGTTATTATGGACAACAATTATGTTATATCTAACGAAGGCTAGATTACAACAAATGTCACAAGGGTTTCAAATTTTTTTACTGCCAGCATTAACGAACGGTAACCTTCAGAATTCAAAACTTGTTCGAGCAAATAATTATTGGAGATTTTCAATGTTCAACATCATGTATAGTGATTTTCATGTCGTAATTATTATTGCTGAATCTACAATAAATGTTCCTTTCCTTGAGTTTCAGTTGCATTCACTTCATCATCTACTGTCGACTGGATTATTGAGTTTTAGAAACATTAGATGCTATTGTCAGTTCACACATTCGAGAAGTTGCTAAGTTGCTAAATAAATATTTCACGGTCATGCTAGTCCAAAAAAATGTATGAATTTAATGAAAGCATTTTCATCTAGAATATTAAGCTGTTCAAATAATAGTAATTAATTATCATTATAGTATATATCGGTTATTGAAATTATCTTATTCATGTTCCCATTGAGAGATAATGAAAGTTAACTCAAACTAACTAAAATTTCTCACCTGTAAAAAGACACTGAAACAAATAATCATGTTTCGTGTTTGTGTCCTCCTCTTTTTTGTGTTTTATGGCAGATATGCTTGCACTGTCGACTCGCGCAGCTGTTTCATTTTTTTTACAACTACGGTTTCTTGTATCTCGTTTACTCGTTCATTTTCTTTCTCACTTCTCGTTTTCTTTATGAAGATAAAAGTAGTCATATTCGAGGTATTCTGCAAAATTTTCAGAAATTACTTTAAAATATTCCATTAAGGCTGAGAAATGTACGAGTGTTTAAAGAAATTTGGAACTATTTCGTAGTAGGAGTGCCGAATCAGGTAATTTTCAAATTCATAAATGGGTGGGTGTTAATTTTCAATTTCTGCGACGTAGAAGCAGCCATTTTAACTTTCTGTTACAAGTTACACCATATTCCACATGAATCCCGATTATTCTTAAGAATCGTGTAACATTTCTTCTGAATTTCATTCCACAAGGAAACTACAGAATATTATGAATTAGGTTCATTGAAAATTATTGCCTGCAAGCATCCTTGATATCAAATTTTTCATTAGATTGGAAAGTGTCCATTAATTGATTTATTTTCAGAAAAAAAATACCATAATTTATGATACAATTTCCTACATATTGTAGTGGAGTACATTTGGTTTTATAAACCTTTGTTTTGGTGTATTTCTGAGAAAAGACGATGATGATGACTGATACACTGAAATCAAATAACCATATTATGGGATTATCTACCAAATTGTAAGTACATTTGTACCATTACTAGGTGGATTTTCAGGAACATACTCATATTTCATACTGATTTTTTTATTTATAGGGACCTGGACAACAAAATGGATGACCTGGGATGGAAATCAAAGTTGAAAATCCCACCAAAAGACAAAAGGTTTCAAACAAGTGTAAGTATTGCTTTTTTTTTCAGTATGAACTAGTATCCATATCTCATCTTTCGATTCTTCTAAACAAAATGTGCCTTATAACCACTACTGTAAAATCTTAAATGGTGTTTCATGAACTAATACTTGTGACTATTTCATTTACTGTGGGTAGATTCATACAGGTTTGAGTCTCGAAGATTTTGTGTATTAAGAATTCATGTTGTTCATTTGTTACTATTGAAAACTCTCTACAGATTAATATCATCGTGTAAGCATGTTTTTACTGTTGATTTATGATAATGATTTCTTACTAATACCACCATACCTTTTCAAAATCAATTCGTTTTTTTTGAGTGCTAACAGGGTACAGTGTTTTGATTTCCGGCTTTTATCTGTAAGCTATTCATTTTACCTTCAATTATTTCAAAATACTATCTTGACTTGACTGATTTCAGCATGGCCCCCCTGCTGGATGAATGAAAAACATCTGCAAGACATTTATGCGAAATACCTCTGTGAGGTATTTTGCATAAATGTCTGTTGGTTAGAATTCAATGCCCAGCGTGGTACTAGCCTGGGAAGTAGTTGTTTTCCGGCAGGCATTTACCAGAAACTAGGGTGTAGGTACTTTGGGAAAGATGAATGTTTTGAGATTTCATTTGAAAATATTTACTTCCTTACATGTATGTATATCTCCGCATATCCAAACTTGAAGTCTGTGACCATACAATGCTTATGCGCCAACCCCACAATTTGATTTGTAAGTTCAAAATGAAACTCCCCTCCCCAGGTTTGACCTTGATTAGAGTGGTACCAATAAACTATCTCAACAAAACTGAAGTTGATAACTATCAAATGAGTGACACTGTAAATACAGTTTATAAAATATTTCAAAATGATTAGGTATGCAAATAAAACTACCATGTGATCTACTTTACATATTTTTTATGCTTTTTCCTGTATAGATTTGGATAGAAGTTTTACATCAAGGATTTCAAATGTGGTATTTATTTTTTCCATATATCTTTAAACTTTTTTATGATCATTTAGGTGATAAGTTTGAAACTCCATTCTGTTAAGATTGTTTTTTTATCTGTGACATTTTTGGGTTTTTTGTCACTGTTGACATTAGCTTGCTTGTGAACATACCATTTTCTTTGAATTCTGTAAAATAATTTGCAATGAAATGATACTAAAAAAGTATTGAGACCTACTGGGCTAATGTACCAAAAAAAGGATAAAGTAGTTTTTCTCAGAATTCTAGTAAAAATACTATATCATTCATTTGATTTAATATTGTTTCTATGTTTGAATGTTTTTTAGCTTAATATTTCTGTTGATGGATTATATTACAAGCCTTTTTTGTGCAAATTTTTAAGCTCCTCAATGATGAAATGTTTATGTTGGATTCAGAATGATATCACTTTACATTTGCAATCATTTGATGATCAAATTAAATAAAAGCTTGTAAAAACAAGAGTTTCCAAATGGTCTCCTGTTTCACTGATTCAAGTTAACCCCCTTCCATATAGTCTTTACCAACATGATATTCAGTAAAGTGAATAATTAGTTTTCCTTTTGGCCAAGTAAACTTTGAAGTTTATTGACAAATGAATTGACGGATGTAGCCGTTACTACGTGGTAGGAGATCATAATGAAAAGAGAAATGAAAATTTCTTTGTTTTTTACCAGTTTTATTTGTAACTAACTTTACTGCAGTTTCGTCCTATATGGACATTCTCAAACTTATACAATGTCCATATAGGACGAAACTGCAGTAACGATAGTTACAAATGAAAGTGGTAAAAAACATAGAAATTTTCATTATTGACAAATAAGGCAATAGAAAGCAAATTCATATTCACATCAGATTTCACTATAGGAATGAAATACACCAATAATATTAATAATATCTTTGATTTTTTTTACTGAATTCCTTCAATTTTCATAAAACAATTGAGAGTTACTCGAAACAAGAAAAGTTTCTTGGGCAATATTTTTACAAACGATCAAGTTAAAAATCGAATTGAACATTGAAAACACTATGATTTCTGCTCAATCAGCATATATTCTTGAAGTTGCTTTGACAAGAGACAAAAATCTTTCAACATATCAAAGATATTTTTCAGATGAAAATAAAGTAGAAGAAATTTTCCTTGAAACTAAAGAGAAATTATAGCAGAATACCCGAAATCAAACGTCGTAAAAGAATAACTACTATATCGTAAAGGCAAGGATATTTTTAAAAACTACAGATCAATACCATTATTTTCCATTATGCAGAAACTAAATTCTACGAGCTTCCTGGGTAATGTTATCTTTTTATTGAGACTCGACATGGCTACTTCATAAGTTGCTACAACAATATATAATTTTATGAAACTTTCTAGATAGGAAGCATAAGATTGTGTAAAATCATGAAACTTTGTTCAGGATTTCAAAAGAATTCTCATTGAACAATTTTTTTCAATTTCTAAATTAAATAACCATAATTTTTTTTAAATTCAATGTGTATATTTTTAGGAGAGATTAATTTTTGGGAATCAAAGTTTTTGGCTTTCTACTGCTCCATCTTGTGTCTGAAAGTTATTTTTTGCATGATCTACTCATCTTTGTATAGAGTTAACTTTTGAAATTGATGACTTCATTCTTTTCTTTGGAAGATTCTAACATTTTTTCTATTGAGATGGAGAAGTGGATAGTCAAAAATTTTCCTTACTGAACATTTATTTTACTTGTTCTTGCAGTCTGATATTGATCATATTGCTATAATTATCATGATGAACTTGTGGATTCCCCTTCATTTTCACAAATAAATGATAAATCCTTTTCTGATAATGATGGTCTTCTTTTCAGTATTCAATTCACATATATTTCCAGATGAACATACTTGAAATTTTTTTCAGGATGTAACGGATACCAGAGGAAATGAATTCGAAGAATTTTGTTTGAAACGAGAATTGCTGATGGGAATTTTTGAGAAAGGTTGGGAAAAACCTTCTCCAATACAAGAGGCTTCGATCCCAATAGCGTTATCCGGAAAGGATGTACTAGCCAGAGCCAAAAATGGAACAGGTCAGTTGAATTCAGAATTGAAAATATAGTGACTAGCAATGTCACTATCTTGAAAAAAATTCATGAGTAAAAACCCTTCTCTGTAAAAAAGTTCATGCCATAGTTTTTTAGCACAACACAGAAGCAAACATGAACAAATTTAAGAACTTCATTTGAAATAGGCTGACCCTCATATTCAAACAGTAATACTCCAACACAAATAAGAGCCCTGAAAATTACCAATCAATACGTTCACATTCACCAACAAAGTGTTGAAGTTTTTTGGCTCATTAGTACTCCATAAGAATTGTTCTCTGCCGAAAGAGTTCATGATTCCTCTTTCATACTGTCTCTTCTGGAAAGGTATTCTGCGCTCAAACTTTAACATAATACTAAAGCCATTCTATGTGGTTATCGACTCATTAATTTAATGTTACAATAAGTGATCATTGAGTTGCTGCGACTCATATGCATATTAGTAGACTTGACCTGAGTTTCAATGTCAGGTTGGGGGGACATATATGCCAAACAAATAACTTGGTACGTTTCTTCGTGTTGGATTTCATTTTTGAATTCGACAGAAATGTATCACATACATTTTTTAGTGAAACCTTTAGCCTTTTATTCAGCAGGGATGAATCAGTGAATGGCTTAGGGAGCACACATCAACTCAAAAGTTTTAAGGCTTCAATTTGATATGAAGCTGCTACATGAATTGAATGATTATACAAATCATTACGATGTAGTATTATAAGCTATGTTTAACTGTTTTACCCTTCAAAGAGGACGACTATTTGAGAGGGTTCATTTTGGTGAAAAGTTCCACCTCTATTATTGTTGAGTCCACGAAAGAATACAATTTTTGCAAATGATTGAGTTGGCAAACTCATAGCGATAACGCCTTGACTCAGCATTCTCTGATTTATGAAAGTATTAAAAGTATATAATCACCTTCGTACTATTCTAAAATATAGCACAGATATCAAACAGTTCTGAAGTACACTCAAAGATCTTTTTTAAAAAAAAGCTTATTTTTCGATCCATGAATTCTACAACCTGTAAATTCTACTTGATTTTTCAACGTTCACCTAAACTCATCTGTGAATGTTTATATTTTTTATATTTTATGACATGTACGTTTATATTTTTTATATTTTATGACATGTACCTATTGTATTTTGTATTCTTTATATTTTATGACATGCATTTTATTTTTTTACAAGACTGTCAACAAGATACTAATCTTCCGACAATAAAGCATATATTGATTGATGGAATGTGGCCACTGCTCCGAACAACCTTTTATTGACGAATTGCTTGTATTTTTGAAATTCACATCTAGTGGAAACTGTTAGGATTTTTTTTTTAATTTCATAAAATTCGTCTGTACGTCATGAATTATTCTGTAGAAAACATATTTTACATTTGACAGAACACTCAACAGCTTCTCACTGTTTTTTTTTTTTGTATAAAACCTTCCACAATGTGAAAAATAAACAAAGCTGAATCTGACCCATTATTTCCAAAATCTTTCTACATTGTGGACTATCCATAATGTATTGTTTTTACAAGTATTAAGTCTTCCACAAAAAATGTCTTTCAAAGAATACTAAACAGAGTCTTTCTTAATTTGAGGTTTAAATTTATAATTGTGTAATATGAATTATTAGTTGTGAAAACAAGTATTTGTGTGGTATGAAGGGATTGTAACCAACATGAAACCAATAATAAACACGTAAAAAATGTAAACCATCAGATGATGGTAATAAGTCATCATTTCGACTCAACGTCTTCGAAATTGCCGACAAATCGTTTGTATAGCTTTTTTTACTTGTAGGAGAAAAGGATGCCATATAAAAGTATGTGTTTTATCACATTGATGGCGAATGTGGATTCATTCGTCAACCTAACTGTATTACAACATATTGATTTTGCCATTTTTCTAATTCTCTCTAATGGAATAGAACTACCAAAATGATAATAGTTTTTTTGAGTAGGTTTTGAAATTCTGTTTGTTTTTAGTTAAAGTATACTTGTATACAAAATATTTTGGCACGATTATTATTTTTTTTATCAAGTGTTTGTCTATTATCTCTTTTGTGACTAATATCAAGTGTTTGTTCATTATCTCTTTCATGACGAGCAAGCAAAGTGATAATTTCTATAAATAACTCGAGATTTAATGACTGAATATAAAGTATCAATATAAAGGAAGATATGAAAAATAGGAGCACATGAAAGAAAACACAATAGGATATCCAATGCTAATCAACCTTTTCCACAAACAAAACAATCTCTAAAATTTTTAAAGATGATTTTTTTTAAATACCTTATCAACTCATGGATAGATTTCCTTATTTTTTTTCATTACGAGAGGCGCTTTTAATTTACAAATTACATTTGTTGAATAATGTAATTTATTTTTTGGGAAAGAAAGTTTTTGGCTTTCTACTACTCCATCTTGATACAAAAAAAGGATGAGGGAATCATTTAAAGTGGAACTCATGTGAATGATATCTGATTTTTATTCCACAACGAATGTTTGAAATACAAACTGAGTAGAGAAAAGTATCTTCTGTATAATTCAGTGTTCATATAGAAGTATTTGTTTCGAAAGAATTTTTTCTTTCGTGTAATTCAATGTTTATATGAAAGTAGCTGTTTCAGGAGGACTTTCTTTCAGTTTGTGTCTGAAAGTTACTTCTTTGCATGTACACATCCATGTATAGAGTTTCTTATTTTCAAATTGATTACTTCCTTCCTTTCTTTGGAAGATTCCCTCATCCTTTTTCTGTATCAAGATGGAGTAGTAGAAAGCCAAAAACTTTCTTTCCCAAAAATTAATCACTCCTAAAAATATAACCCCTTCAATTCAATGTAATTTATCTATCGACAATGTTGACCGATTTATTCTACATTTATTTTTTTTATAATAAATTAACAATATGACCTTGAACTTAGACAAAACTAGGGACCTAAATACTTAAATAAGACTGCCTGTTTGCAGCTATAGAGATATCGAAAGCGATTTCTCATTAGTCAGTCGATCTTGAAGCTCCATTATGTAAGGATCTAAGGAATTTGAAAGATCTTTTTGTAGTATATTTACAGATTTTATTGTTTCGTTACTTATTTCAATTGTATAAGAACAGAAGAGAACAAAATTCAGGCTGGTAGGCCGTGATTTGCGGCATACATCATCAGTGGTATGTTTTTGACTGTGAGAACTAAATTAACTCGAAGTCAACGCACCTACCACTGAATTCTGCTACAGTATCTGACTTGAAAGTTTGGACCAGTTTGTTCTTTTTCAATTACTTCAATTGTATTTGTACTTTTTTGATACAATATTAAAATTGAATTCAATACTAAATCCCTTGTTTCAATAAATAGGTTAATTTTGTAATTTTGAAAGTACACTTTTTATTTGAAAAAATGCATTCCTTTTTGTTTTCTTCAATAAAAGATAGGTTCGTTAGTAATTTGAGTAGGTTGTTGAATTTTCTTTTTTTTTCCAGGCAAAACTGGTGCTTATTGCATCCCTGTACTGGAACAAATTGACCCTAAAAAAGACTGCATACAGGCACTAATAATAGTGCCAACAAGAGAATTAGCACTACAGACATCTCAAATTTGCATCGAACTGGCGAAATACCTAGAAGTGAGAGTGATGGTGACAACAGGTGGAACGAATTTGAGGGACGATATTATGCGCATCTATCAAAAAGTGCAGGTTATAATAGCTACGCCGGGACGTATCCTGGACCTGATGGAAAAGCGAGTCGCCGTCATGGACCAGTGCAAGATTCTAGTACTAGATGAAGCCGACAAGCTTCTGTCTCAAGATTTCAAAGGAATGCTAGATGTCGTGATCAAGAATCTTCCACACGAAAGACAGATCCTGTTGTTTTCCGCTACTTTCCCTTTGACAGTGGAGCAGTTCATGAGGAAGCACTTACGCGATCCCTATGAAATAAATTTGATGGATGAACTCACTCTGATAGGTGTTACACAGTATTATGCTTTCGTACAAGAGAGACAGAAAGTTCATTGTTTGAATACTCTATTTTCAAAGGTTGGTTTCCGTGAAATTCGATTTTTCCTTTGTAAATGAGTTTTTCTCATTTTCAGCTACAAATCAACCAAAGTATTATTTTCTGTAATTCTACGCAAAGAGTAGAACTGCTGGCTAAAAAAATCACAGAACTTGGATATTCCTGTTACTATATTCATGCAAAAATGGCACAAGCTCATCGAAACAGGGTATTCCACGATTTCAGATCTGGTTTGTGCAGGAATCTAGTCTGCTCGGATTTATTCACGAGAGGTAAGTGATATTGCATTCGATTTATTTTAAAATTTTTACGATTTTACGTAAAAGTTTTTTGTGTTCAAACCTCATTTTGTGTTAGAAGTGATCCCTTTTTTTCACAGAAAAGTTTCACATATATACATATTCTAACCTAATCTAAGAAATTACTATAAATCAAGAGGGTATTAGTAGTGAACAATTTTGACACAGTGAAACGAATTCCTGAGCCACATTTCTCGTAAAGTAAAGATTTATCATGTGTATCGACTGCTAACTCATTTGAAGAGCAAAACATTTTTTTAATGATGCGAAGAATAGAAACATCTATTTGTTAAATCAGTTGATAAAGTCTTTGATGTATTTATTCAGATCTTAGTTTGGGATTGGACCAGTCATGATTTTAGAGATTCCCTTGTCGATTGCCGACGTTTCGGACTTTAATAATACCATCCTCTAGGCTCTTGGACTAAAGAGAAACATGTGCTGGGTATTGGTTACTGTTTACACTGTATACTGTACAAATTGACATGTCCCATCTTGTTTCGAAACTGACCCTATTATTCGTTTTGACTGATACTGTTTACAGGGTATCTCAGACTTTAGTAAACAGAAGTCCAATGTGCTGGCCTGATATGACTTCATTAGATTTTTTTAAGGGGTCGTATACCTAGCATCTTCAATAGATTTGGAGGATATCAAGAATCAAATCTGTTTTGCATGCTATACCAGCCTAAAAACAAATGAATAAGTAGTAATACAATAAAAAAACATTTCTTGGAATTTTTTTCGAATAATACTGGATTAACTGAATTCCAAGTCTAATAAAATTACATTCCTGTAAGTTTATTGGCATATTAGTAGATCTGACCTGGGTTTCAATCTCAGGTTGGAGGGACAAATATGCAAAACAATTAACTTGGTAAGTTTTTTCGTGTCATATTCTTATAGTGGATTTGACAAAAGCCTGCCACATACACACATTCTGAACTTTAACCTTTCATTGCATATGATGTCATTTGTGACCTGGTAAAGATCTGGAAATCTTTGAAATGAATGTTTATTTTGATAATCAAGCAGTTACTTTTTTAATTGGTGAGGAATTTTTCCTGAAATATATTTTTATTTTTCAGGTATCGATGTGCAAGCTGTAAACGTTGTGATAAACTTTGACTTCCCAAAAATGGCGGAGACTTACCTCCACCGCATTGGCAGGTCCGGTCGGTTCGGACATTTGGGTATTGCCATCAATTTGATCACGTATGATGATAGATTCTCGTTACATCGCATCGAACAAGAGCTTGGAACCGAGATCAAGCCCATCCCGAAAGTAATCGATCCCAAACTGTACGTCGCGAAAATGCTGGAAGAAGAAGAAATTGAATCTTCCAAGTAACATGTGAAGAAGTGATACTACGGACTTGTGTAAATAGTTATATATCAACCGGACTCAACGTACTTTTATTTACTTTTTGAAAGAAGATATTTTTCGTTTAGATTTTCGTATACAATTTGGGATAAATCGTGAATTTTGATTACTCAATCGAGAATGGGCACGAATAAAGCCGTCTTTGTTCCATCCATTTGCAGCAATGATGTGACTGGAAGTCTTTATCGGATCGAAGGGCAGTTGAATGTTTGGCGTTTGATTTTCATTTCTCCAATACCCGTCTGTGATAAAATAATTGACGTAACTTCCTAATAAACGCTATCAGAGGGTTACGTAAAAACCGAGGCTAATGATTTAGAAAATGTTCATTAGAGGAATATTCAGCTGGTCCTTTTTGAATTTTGCATTGTTTGTTACCCGTGCAGATTCAAACTATCCGTCGAGGTTTTCCAGAAGATCTTTTGCACATCAGTTCCGTTTGTGTCTCTGAGCGAAATTAACACTCGTCTCCGTTTGCTCAGCGACAACAATCGGAATTTTCGCGGTGTCGACAGGTTCGCCGTTTGATGTCGAATTTGTGATAAACGGACCGTCCCCGTAACTAAACGCGAGGAGGTAGAGGACTCCCAAAAGTGGCGTAACGCAAGTGACTTATGGTTATCGGGAAACGTGTGAAGTGTTCGCTCAAAATAAATTATTCAAGGAGATATTTGGTGCTGATCGTTGTGCGATCTTCCGGCCGTCGGCGCCTCGTTCAAATTTAGAAAGATCGGATATTGAATATGCCAACAATATCATATTTTCAAAATTTCCTGAAATGCATATTCAGTATTTTGCTTGTTTCATTTTGGGGATGTTGAAAATTAGAATTTCTTCCAGGAGAAGAGTTTAACAAGCGTACTTTTTTTTAAGAAAAAAATCTTATCCAATTTTCATTTGAAGGGGTTGGGAGGGGAGGGGAAAATTATTTATATCATCAGATTATATTGTTGTGTGTTTGCCGAGATATATTTTTCATTGGTCATTATTTATTTTTATAGGGTAACAAGTTTTGGCATGTACACAACAAATTTATTTTGTTAATAAAAAATGAGAAAAAAAATGTAGAGGGTTGTTTTGACTTTTTTTCACAATACAATTGTAGAAGAAAGAACCAAATGTTAGATTTAGTGCATGAATCGATGTCATACTTGCTGGGAAAATTAAAAATTTTGTAATTTGTGATATAAAATAAGCTAAGAAAAAAAATTAAATTTGCTCTCTACACCAAAGCCTTGTTTTTTTAATGGAGTTGACACCATCTGGTACTGAGAGTGATAGAAATTTCAGATGTTTCTGAAATCCATACTCAGGAAACGTGAATCTTTTAGGGATATCATTCACACGTACACGATTTTCAAAGAATACATAAAAAACTGAATATTGAGTATGTGAACATGGAGAATTGGTTATAAATTTGAGGTCAAAAAACAATTGAACGCCAATTGATATTGCAGTATTTTCAGACATGAACAATTATTTTTGTTCCATTGACGAGTCTTTGACAAGTAAAATAAGTAATACACTTGGAACAGCTGTGAAGTCAAACTCAAATAAACCTCAAATAATTCTCTTGATAGAAGTTTTGGAATATTTCAAAACAAATACTTCTGGGTGCTGGTTTATTATAAAGCTCCGACAACCTTTATGAAGGAGATGAAAGGGGCGATCTATAAAATCTGTGGCCCATATATCATTGTCTCCAGCTTTAGTAAACTTCACTAATTTGATTTTGACATTTGAAACTCTCAACAGTTTGGATTAGGGGGAAGAAAATCTGGCAATCTAAATAATTTCATTACTACACCAAACGTAAAGACTGGGGATGGAACGTCAGTAGCGTTCTCACTGCTGGAAAAGCTCCACCATTATGGAGTAAGAGAAAAGGGTTCACTTTGAATTCAATAACATCTTCAGAAATGCAAATCATATGTAAAGAACAGTTTTATCATTGAGTAACAGAGTCTCAATTTTTGATATTTCGAAACCATTTTAATTAATTCAAATCTGATCTCGGAATTGCTCAATTACTACAAATAACTTTATTTCAGCAAAGTTCTGCTAGATGAACAAGAAACATCTCCAAGACTAATGTGTGTGAAGTATCTTGCATAAGTGTGTGTCGTCTGTAATTCAATATCCAGCGTGTTATTAGTCGGGGAAGTAGTTGTTTTTAGGCATTCATCAGAACTACAGTGTAGGTAGGTTGGGAGAGACGAATATATGATGATGAATATAAATAACATGATGTTGCATAAGTAAATTTGTTGAAATTATATGATGAGAGCCAAAAGCAAAATATCAGTGACGAATTTGCTTGGAAAACAGTAATAACTAATTAATGAGGATAAGCCGAGATAAAACAATAAAACAATGTGATAAATGTTAATATATTTAATTACACCTTATAAAAGTAAAAAAATAGCACTAGACTACATTGCAACATTAAATAAATATATATTTACATCATAGAACAAAAATAAGTATGCTTCAGGTAATATTTCAAAGTTATTCATTTATATTTCTAGGATGTACCTGTTTTTTTTTGGGAAGTTTGGGAAGTTCATGGCTTTCTACTACTTCATCTTGATACAGAAAAATATGGGAATCTTCCAAAGAATGGAAGGAAGTAATCCATGAATCTTTTGATAAATAGATGAAGACATAAGGCATATGAACCTACTTTACTGCTTTGTAAGGTTCCATTTGAAGTTTATATTTAGCATAAACATTTTGACCACAACAACCAAAATTTTTGTCCGCCATCTTATATTTCAAAAAACAGATACATTCAGAATGAACGTGCTATCAGGGTTTTCAATTTTCCCATACTGGCCTCCTTATATTGAGCATAGTGTATAAAGTGAGCTTTATCAGTAACACAACTTTGTTAAATTATATTAATAAGTTTTAAAGTTGGTCATACATCTCACTGCACAATTTGAAAAAGAACCGAATTTGTAACTTAGAGTTAAAACGTTTGGATGTGTGATTTAAAAGTCTCAATAAAAATAGTAAACTATACCGGGTGTAAACCGATTCAGGTTAGTTCTAATCACTTTTTTATCCCTCTCTCCTAGTATCAATGTGAAATTTTGGTGGTTCATATTATATAATTGGGATCGATTGGATCAAAAAAATTATGCAGCATTTCCAGTTTTACAAGAAATTATCTTAACTTTGGAATTCCAAATGCTACACTCTGAATTTTGATACATTTTTTAATTCATAACTTTATTTTTCATAGAAATGTCCTATTTTGGTGGAAATATACTGCATGATGAATATACTCATGATCTAACGGGGATACCGAATCGGTACCTCTGATTTTTTCAACTACCCACTTGTTGAGTTTTTTTGGCAGATATTTCAATTTCACGCCATTTTCAATGGCACCATTATTTCTCATATTATTCAGAAAGATCTCTGTTTTATCAGGGTACCAAAATAGGACATTCCTTTGTAAAATAAACCACTGAATACAAAAATGTATGAACGTATAGAATGTTACTTTTGAAATGTATTTGAATTATTCCATCTGAAACAGGCCATGAACATCTTTTAGATATTCAAACTGTTCATAAAATGGAAATATGTATGTTTATACATAAAGTGTTTAGGAGTGATACAAATTCCAACATTGAATTTCAAAAAATTGAAGAAGTCCATCATTATAATAGAATAGATAGAATAAAAAAATTAACTCCCTAAATGAATTATTTTGTTGATAACGTCTTATCGAGTGTATTTCAAATTGTGTTTTATTTTTTCTGTGATGCAGCTATGATATGCTAATATATTTTTAAACATTTTAAGGAAGGATCGGGGCTCCTGGATATGACCTTATGTACGCCACTGATCATAGCTGGACGTTCGTGAATATCGTATTGAATAAGAGATCTATTTGGGAGAATCCGTTTTACGGGAAAGCTGAAACTCTGAAACGGAATAACTTTGAAATCAAAATGCATTGTGGGTCATCATGTTTGATAAATAATACATTTCTGAATTCACTGACTAATCCTACATTGAGTTTATATGTATAACTGTTCTTCGCAAGTCGCTAAAATAATTTTTCTGAAAATGATAATTTTTTTTTTAAAAGTACCTACCTATTTAATATTAGAAATAAGGCACTCAGGCAAAATTCATTTATTCATATTTTGACTTTCACTTTGACTTTGTTGATTTATCAATGTTCAAAAACAATTATACTGTAGTGATAGTAAAAGACTGCATGTATTGGCTAACCTATTTAATCAACGAATTGCCGGAGATAACTTCGTTGAAGCTATTTTCCGGGTTTATTGGCCGTGGTCTGCGGGTTTTCATGCCCGATGTTTTGTCTGCAACTGCGGTAGATATCATTAAAGGCGATGCGGTCAATGGGTTCCGGTTTTATTCAATAGGTGGTCTTGACCTGATTCCTGTATTATTGAGGTGTGAGTAGTCAGACTTCATCTATGTTAATTGCATATTCTTTGACTTTATGATTTGAATTTGTATAACTAAAACACCGAACCTAATCGTTGCCTTGTCACCTTTGGTAATGTCTGTCGCATTGTAAACGAAACTTCAGGCATGAAATTTGTAAACTACGGTAAACACCGAGTTCATTTTCCTTGTACTTGGCGAATATATTGAAAACAAAACTAGTTTTATTGAAAAAATAAATATATCAACTTCAAATATTTCTATCGAACGACTTTCCTATATCAGAGATGTGTGTCTGTACAAATGTGTGAATATATTTATACTTTATGAACGTATGAGATTTGTTTGATACTCCTAAACTAACGATGATCCCAGTCAGTCTTGAAAGCACACAAGATTCATTGTTTATGGTACTGACGTTTATTCTCTACAATACTAATTGAGACATAAAAAATGTGCTTCCCAGACTTTTGTATATTCCTATGAGACAGTTACTCTAATTAAATGGCATCTTTAACTTGAAAGCTATTCACTTCCATCATAAGGTGGTCTTATTTCTTTAAAAAATGTTCAAATTCAATCGGGTGTGGTGGAAATTCTGCCCATTTTGACAGATCTATGCCCGGTATTACTCCAGAGCGACAAGGAACTCGGGGATTTCTGAAAAAAAAAATAGTTTTGATCAACAGTATGCTTATACGAGGGATGTTCGAGAAGTAATGATGAAAATTAAAAAATATTCATATATACTTATATACAGGGTTCTCTCCTATCTAACGACCTATATAGATCTGGCATTTGAATAATACGCATATTTTGTTAGTACTGTGAAGAAGCACCTTGTTGAAACATCATATCCTCTTTAATGTATGCCGAGTTATTCTTATGACATTATTAAGAGTATGCTAGACAATATTTTGATCTCACATATTCAGAAATTTCTGTTTGGCCCGATCCCATGTAACTCTGAATTTTCTAGACTGAACTGGGCCGCCCTTGCTCCTCTCATTATCATAGGATGAAAAGAAGGAAGAGTCAACAGCGGCACCAGTGTAGCTGTTGGTGTGACTTTCATTGCTTCCGTTATTTCCAAAAAAGCAGGTCTTTGCACTATGCTTGGTTTATTACCAGTTCATTATGTCTGGTTGAGGCCTCATGTCTTTCTGTGAGTGCATCTGGTCACCATCAGTGCCTACCTCTGTTTTTCTTTTTACTCCTTCTAGGTGTTGGTATACCGTCAACCAGGAGTCTAGTATCACTCCCGAATATTTCAGCTCCCCCGAAAGATGTATCTATCTTCACATCGAAGTTTTAGGGGTCCTGGGTCCTCTTGGTGAATGCTACTATGGTCGATTTCGATTAGCTCATACACAGCTCTTCTTCTTCGGCCCATTATATGATATTCAGGCATGTTGCATAGTTTTGAATTCACGTTGGACTACGATACCTAAGTCGTCTGCTTATCCCAGTAAGTTGTATCTGTTATGGTCTATTCTTTTCTCCTTCCACAGTGTTGACGGTTTTTTCATTTTTTCAGAACGATCTTTCGCTGATAGTAATGTATTGTCGGTATATTCTCAATAAATCATTCTGTATATGAAGGCTCCGTCCTATATAACTTATATATTTATATAACATATTTGAGCAGATAGTTGTTGCTTCACAGATGCTGGTGCAGATGTTTTCAGTCGCAGAGATATCAGCCTGCCTAGGGATCTATGCGATTGTATTTCAAGTATTTGGCCAATGCCAAAAACGACTCTCCTCAATAGTAAGACTTAAAAAATTGTGTCTGGTCTGGATTCCTGGCCAAACAGGTCTGGACGGCAATGAGGCTGCTAACTCCCTTGCAAAGAAGGGTACTGCAAGCAGCTTCATCGGACCAGGACCTGTCATTGGCATCACTATAGGCTTTGCCAAACAAATATTGAACATCTGGGTGGCAAGAAGATGCATGAACTCCTGGCAAAATCTTCCTGGATTGGCTCACTCCAAGACGTACATTGACTCTTCTAAGCTTGAAACCAAACAGTTGTTGGACTACAGTAGGGATGAACTACGATGTCTAACAGGCCGTCACACAGGCCACTGTCGTTTGAATAATTATATGCAGATATTCGGACTGTCGGAAGACAGTCTGTGTCGCCTCTGTTCAAAAAATGATGAAACAGCAGAGCACATATTTTGTGCCTGCCCCGCTGCGGACCAAATCATTTTTTTTAGAGTTTGGCAGAGCCATACTGTCACCATCTGACCTGAAAGATCACTCACGATATAAACTAATCGATTGATATTTCAAAATAGTGCACTGCTACTCTCTTAAAGGAACAATACTTGACCACAATGAAAAATTTAGCATGTTCTTCAAAAAGACCAAGAATAATGCAGGCCAAAACAATTTTCAAGAACTCTCGTCTCATCATTTGACGATTTGGCGATCCCGTAGCTTTTTCAAATTGACATATCTAGAAGTGATTTCCATTTGAAAGAAGATGATAGGTTGATTGGGAATATTAACACTTACATTTCGTGATCTGGTAGGACCATTGGATATAGTTGAATGGTATCTATCAAATCCGTGTTATCACATATTATCCTTGCCAATCGAGCTTTTCTAACTTCTTGCAATTGTTCTGGTGTGAATGAAGACGGCTGATTGGGTAATTCGTACCTGAAACAAACGTGATTTTTAGTATGTAATTGAAATATGAATATATTCGGGATGGTCCCGCCAAACGATACCTTAAACTCATCATATATTACACATCATATCATATCACATCACAAATCGCACATCACAAATCGCACATCACATATACATTGCACATACTACATCAGATATTAAACAAACAGATATTACATCACACCACACATCACATCGCATCAAACATCATATATACTTCACATATCACATCACACTACACATTAGATCACATCACATCACACATCACATCACANCCACACCACACCACACCACACCACACCACACCACACCACACCACACCACACCACACCACACCACACCACACCACACCACACCACACCACACCACACCACATCACACCACACCACACCACATCACATCACATCACATCACATCACATCACATCACATCACATCACATCACATCACATCACATCACACATCACATCACATCACACATTACATCACACATTACATCACACATCACATCACACATCACATCACACATCACATCACACATCACATCATATCACATCACATCATATCACATCACACATCACATCACATCAAACACCACATCACACCACATCACATCAAACATCACATCACACCATATCTCAAATCACATCGCTTCACATATCATATCAAGTCTCAACGTTTGAAACTGGCTGTTTTTATGGGAAAGAAAACCTCTTCCATATGTTTACTCACCAGAATCTGTCGCCTCGTCGAGAATAGCTGAATTGTGTAGCTATTATGCAGGCGAATGTGGGCCCCAACATGCTCGCTGGTAAAGGTTTCTCTGAAACACCTCCTGACCATAAGTCAACGTCATTAGGATGCCTGTAAATGAGAGATGTAAATATATGTATCATCTTCTGGGAAGCGTCACTGTTAAATATACTTCGAATTTATTTGAGAAATATACATCAAATCATCACAAGAGCTTCAGCAGTAGTTGAATTCAGGATTCAATAGGGTAAGATCCTGATTATTTGAGGGAAATGAAAAAAACAAACTTCGGTTTCGTTTTGAATATGACGGATATAATGAGAATCAACACCGAGAACCCTTTTTTGGATCTATGTAGTTGTTGATAGCAGTTCAAAGTTCAAAATATTGGCGGAGAAAGATGTCCAGATCAACAGAAATTCCAAGAACGTATTGATAACAAGACTAGAAGAGAAACGTAGAGCAATGAGCATAGGAATAGTGGAAACTTGGAAACACCAACGAGATGGACTGATCATCGCGCAATATCTCATGGACATTGACCACCAGTGATCAGCTGGAGTTGCGAAACTAAAAAATACATTAAAGAAAATTACTTTCTGCCAACTTTGTATTTGTATTTGTTTGAAAAATGTCCTTATGAGACAAAACTGCAGTAAAGTTAGTTGCGAATACAAGGGGTAAAAATCATAGAAAGTTTTATTCTGATTTGTCATGAGATAACTTAACAATTTTTTCTTGATTTTTTAAATCGAACAGTAAATGTTTTCTTCAATATATGATCTCTCCTTGAAAAGTTTTTTTTTTGAAAATGCTATGCAGTAGCATCTTCAACGTCATAATACTCGAGTACTGTGACGTCTGAAGAAACACGTATCGCGGTTTTGTTAACTATCGAGTGGAACTCTCATTATTGGAGTTTATTTCTAACACCAGATCGTTATTTTCAACACCTCGACACGTGTTTTGATTACCAAGTGATCATCTTAAAGAGGAAGAATAAACTGTTTAATCTTCCTCTTGAAGATGATCACTTGGTGATCGAAACACATGTCGAGGTGTTAAAAATAACGATTTGGTGATGGAAAAAAACTCCAGTAATATACGTGACATGAGTCGATTAATTCCGTCAGTATAAAAATTGTGTTAATCTACTAAGTGACAAAGAAAGATAAACACCCGTTTATATTGAAAATATTTCAATAATGCTTAGCATGTGTACTTATGTTGAGGCCAGTAAAAAGCCAGTAAAATTTCAGCCGCATCGACCATTCTGACCAGTTTTTTACCTGTTTTTTTGTGCGAGCATTCACCATTTTTCCAATTTTTATTCCTATTTGTACTTTAACTGTTAAAGAATTTGTTGTAAAGTGTTTTGTATTGCGAAGACTTCGTCGTATTCCTTAACTTAGTGATTTTGAGAGAGGACGAATTGGTTTACGTGAGGCAGGTTTTTCAGTTAGAGAAATGTCAAGAAGAACCAATCGATCTTTGCGTACTATTCTAAGATGTAATCAGGCATGGACCCAAGAAGGCCAAGAACATAGAGCTAGGGGCAACGGTTGTCGCAGGGGAACAACAGCTCGTGAAGATCGCCGATTAAAACTTTTAGCTCTTAGGAATCGTATTATTTCTACTAGGACAATTGCGAGTCAGTGGTTTGAAGAACCAAAGAATTCGCAAAGTATATCCGCGAATAATGAGTTTTGGACTTTTTTCTAATCATCCCCGTTGGGTGTTGCCCCTGACTCTCGAGCATCAACGCAACCGATTGCACTGGTTCAGAGACAGACTAAATTGGGATCAACAGTGGAAACGCTTAGTCTTCAGCGATGAATCTCACTTTTTTTTGGGTATGCACGATGGACGAGCAAGAGTAAGAAAGCGTCGTGGTGAAGGACGAGATCCCCAGTTTGATGTGGAGAGGCATGTTCACCAAACTGTTGGTTGAATGGTATGGGGTGCTATTGCAAATGGTAGCAGGACACCTTTAGTCTTTATTAGAGGCAACATGACAGCTCTTCGTTACATTCACGAAGTAGTGGAACCTCATGTCCTTCCATATCTTGAGACTATAGAGAACCCCATATTTCAACAAGACAATGCTAGATCGCATGTGGCTAGAGTAAATGGCCCAATCTTTCACCGATCGAACACGTGTGGGATATTCTTGGTCTCAGACTGCTGAATTTACAACAGCCCACACAGACTGTGGTAGCATTTAGATAAGAGTAATCAGTAAGGTGGAATGAGAAACCTCAACAAGATATAGACCATCTCATCAGAACAATGCCCAGACGTATCCACGAGGGTATAAGACATCGATGATCTGCAACACACTACTGAACTTCACTGGTTTCACGATTATCCAATTTCTCTGAAAACTTACTCGTTTGTTTGCTATTATTAGTCAAGTATGTAAGTGAAACATTATTAACATATTTTCAATATAAATGGGTGTTTACCTCTCTTTGTCACTCAGTATATCACTGGAACCCAACATCAAAACGTTTTTTTAACACCTCGACACGTGTTTCGATCACCAAGTGATCATCTTCAAAAGAAAGATTATACTGTTTTGGTCTTCCTCGTGAATATGATCAGTTGGTGATCGAAACACAGGTCGAGGTGTTAAAATGATGGTTTGGTGTTGGGAAAAAACTTCAGTAATATTCATTACTACACCAAAGGTTCCAAACAACGCATCACAAGTATAAAAATTATGTGGTCGAGATTCGATGAAGTCGGCAATGGCCGTTTTTGCCTGGTCCTAATTGGCGCAGGTTCTATATACCGGTTTTGATGGCGCAAAAGTAAAGAAGAACAGACTTCGAAACGTGTCAATTTCTGTCGATCGCTCAAATCACGAAAATTCACTTTTTGAGCTATTTTATCTTTCCAATACGTTTTAACCATTAAAAACCGCATGAGAGCTGACACCCAGTTCTTCCGCCATCCCACCTACCGTTTGTGATGGGTCAGTTTGAACCAGGATCCTCAAATCCTCGTCCTGGATCTCCGGAACTGAATTTCGCAAACCGACATCGAACAGTGCGTTCTTGTCAAATGCGTGGTTAATTTTCCGGGCTGTTTCGGCAGCGCTTTGGTTCAATTTGAATTCTTAGAAAAAAATTGGCCGAAAATCGCCTAACAACATCATTCGACATCGTAACAACAAAGGTTGTGAAGAGGAAAAAAATTAAATTTGGAAAAAATGAATAACATCAATGTATAGATGTATATATGCACCATGTTTCAAAATAATTCGTATTGACCTTTTGGGTTAGGTATTAGGTACATACCGATGAATTTATGTGCTTTGCTCCATCTTTCGATAGCGGTTGGCAAAAGCGAATGTCCAAATCTGAAAGCGGCAGCAGCAAATGCATCGATTACCCCTGGGTTGACATTTGGATCATAGCCATCCCAGTAACCCTGAAAAAGAAAAAAACATCGTTATGCCAGAATCAAAATTATTTTTGGTTAACTAATATATTAAATAATTTTCATTACGTGTATTTTTTGTATGCTTGTGATTTGATAGTCATTTCCTGAACGCTCCTATACTCACAAAGATAATGTTGATCATTATCCCAAAAGCCACTATATCTATATTTGTTGAATGAATAATCTTTGGATCTGAGAGTCGTGAGCCATAGAAGCTAGAATCACATGGTGTTTTGCTGAAAACCATAGGGATAATTGCTTGAGGTACAAGCAATTAACTTCATATCAATCAGCAACGCAATTAAGGCCATTTCGTAGAAGTTCTGGAAGATTTACTCTACCGAAAATCCTCAAATTGACAACAGAAAAATAGATTTATGAACATATAGTAATTTTATGAATAGTCAGAACAATGATGATCTGATGCTGAACGGTAATGTAATATATTTATTGATTTTTTAGACTCATCAGTATCTGCGCCTTTGTTCTGAGAAGACAATGAATTGTTGGCCAAAATTAGCCTTCAATTAATTTATTTGGTCAATCAGTGAAGGTACTTTCCAGAATCCTGATTCAGAGTCTTTACATAAAAATATAAGTTTCCTTTTTTTGTTTTCAGCTGTAGACATTTGATTTCTGATCCTGTTAAATTTCCACAGGCTTCACCACTGCACAGATTTTCCCTGCAAATATCACAGGGAAAGAGCTGGGTTGATTCAAATTCACCTTTCCATTTGGAGCACTTTTTTTTATCCATCACTTTATCGTGAAATTGGAAATATCTTATGAACTAATTAATGCCTTTATGAAGAATATTAGGTACACCACGTACTTCGTGGCCAGACTTTTTTTCAAACCAACACTTTTTGGTTTATGTGTTTTTACTTGAGTATTTATGAGAAGTAAAATGCGAATGCAATAGGAACCCTGCGGTATACTTGCAATACTCTTCTTGGAACCAAGGTTTACCAACCTAGCTGGAAAGTTAACTTCAGGAGATGAAGTTAACTAATTCCTAGCTATTTTCCGGGTTTGTTGGCCGTGGTCTGCAAGTTTTCATGTCTGTCTAGCGCTGTACTAGCGTCACTCATAAAAACCTGCAGGTCACGGCCAATAAACCAGAAAAAATAGTTTTGACATTTCCTGCTTCTGTTCGGAAACAAAATTTTATTTCTGATCATTCACCTCTTTTTGAAGAAGCAGGCCAAATTTCTCCATAACACCTTTTCCTAGTAAAATTGGCAAGAACTCGTTATAGGTGATGTGTTGAATGATGGCGATGTTGATACGTCTTGCTTCTTGGTACAGAGTTTCGTCGTCCCAGTGTGGATTGACTTCGGCTAATCCCTTGGCTAAGCGATTGTGTTCTCGAGCCATCAAAGTGTGCATGCAGGTCAGAACCAGTTGTTCGTTTACTCGGATTTCACCTGAAAATGGTTGAGACAGTGATTAGAGTGGAGTTTTTGATACATGTAATAATGAGATAGGTGTCCTAAAGACTACTTATGAAATTAAAGATAAATAACTGATTTACAACATGCCTGATTGAACTTGAAGCACCACTTGGTGCAACATCTTACCTCCTGCAATAGGCCCCACTCGTAGGCGTAGGGAGTCCCAGTTGACAACTATTCTGTACGAGGAGATTTGCTGCCAATCAGGTCGAACTTATTTTTGATCCAGTTTTGAATCTACTTGTGATCATTATCGTTCTTCTGGCTTCTTCTAATCTCCACCCTGGTTCCTAGAGTGTTGACAATCTGAGCCTTTTATTATTTCTTATCTGTTCTTTCTTTCGAGTATTGGCAATGCCGGTTGCCCTTCTTTTCATTGGACTTTTGTGCGTTGTTGTAGAAATATCCCCCTTTTTCTGGTGGATCTGGTGGATCTCTTCTTCATAAGACGTAAGGCAAGCATATTCAGCACTTAGAATACTAGTTAAAAAAAATTCATTTTCTCACACGATAGTCCCAATTTGAAGACGATTTATACGATTTTGTTGTTTCCTTCCTCAAGGGTTCAATCTTTGGTGAAGGCCACCGTTCCCTCAACTGGTAACCTCAAAACTTTCAGTGTCTTTCAAAACGTCGTTGAATAGTTTCAGTTCAATTTGGTCCACATACTTTTTTGGACTTGGGCATAATCTAAACTGATTATTTTCAATATATTATCCCCACGATTTCCTTTTCGATTATTGACATTGACTAAGTTTGTTTAGGTTCTCTTCAAGTATTATTGTCTGTATCGTCCATATCCAATTTCAATTGCTTCCGCAACGTAAATGGTGGAATCCATTGGTAATTGTGTTGGCTGATTTGTTTTTTTGGAAGCTTTTGTAGAATCTTCACAGTTTGGCCTCTTAGTTGAAACGATTTCATTTCAATTTTTGTTGTTTTGTCTTCAAATTCATTATTTTTCTTGTTATTTTTTTAGCATGTTGTTTATTCTCCTTTCTTGTTCTTCAGTTTTATTTCGTTGTGCTGTTTTGTTCTTCCAGTTCGTTTTTCAATTCCTTTCTTATTGTTCCTGTTATTTCAACGTTTCTTCTTTCTTCTTATTGTTCCCGTTATATTTTCTTTTGAGTTCTGTTCTTTCTGTTATACTTTTTCCTCTTCAGGCCAACTTTTTGGAATTTTCCCACCTCCATCCTTTCTCGATATCCTTAAGTTACTGATCATTCTTCACGCCGTCATTTATCACTTCAAGAATGATTGATCGGTACTTCCGGTATTTTCTGGAAGACCAGCCTCTTACCGATTTCTAGTAAATCATTCACCACAATCTCGATCATTCGTTACATTACGAACTTTAAAGATGAAAGTATCCCGAAGATGGACTCAATGAAGTTCCAAATGTCGGAATGATACGAAACTAGTTCTCCTACGTCTTTACTGATCCTCATTAGATTAAATTGACATAATTGAATCGTTGTTTGTATATTCAATCTAACCTTACTTAACCTAACCCTCTCAACAATGATAGTACTCACCTCCTTCAAAGCAGTACATGGAAGAGTTGGGCCTTGTGCATCCCTCATCTGGAACATCTAGTTTCAAGGGAAGCAAATCCTTGAGGCCGTACTGATCGAAAGCTGGGTTCATTCTTAATAAACCACCGATTCCGGAACGTAGTTTCCTGAAAATTTTAAAGTGAGTGAGCCCACGCAGGAGAATCAAATTTATTTTTTCCTTGACTATTGAAAACAAACGCTATTATTTGACAGTTTTTTTTTGGTCGATAGGCAATGATTTTATAGCTCACATCTTCGAACCAATCATAGTTGACTAGATTCACAACTTGTTATTTGACTTCACCTGCCCAGTCATAGATGAGAAAATTCATAGCTCAATAGTTCATTACTAAACCAAATGTGATCAATTTGAATCTGGAATAACCAGAGTTCTGGGTTTAAATCCCATTGAGGGACGACAGTTTTCTTCTATACATTAATCAAACTATTTGAATTTGAATGAAACAAAAAATAAGGAAGCACTTTTAAATGAATTTTCAGGTTACTTTTAGTCATGAAATTGAATGGCATCACGAGCATTCAGAATATTCTTCACAAATAAATATTATTTTAAAATATTCCTGATATGACACAGAAAAAATACATTATTCCTCTCGCGAGTCATAACTTGCTTCATTCTCACGAGAATTGACCACATTTCTAGCTCACGAACACATTGTAGGTTTTAAAAAAATCATTCAGCGAACAATATCATGTGTATCTAATTGCTTGAACGAGATAAAGGTTTCATTAGGTTACCTGTCCACCAGAAGTAATAAATATGAGATCATTGAGTAACCAGAAGTTTGAATATGAGATCATTGATTCGTCATTCTGGTGAGTTTGAGATATCTACTGTTAGTCAAGTATCTTGAAGTTCTCGGTTCTCTTTCAAATCGTGATATACAGAGAAAAACATTTCGTCATCTGGCTTCAATTTTTTAAAAGACATTGTGATTTTTCAATACCTTCTCGCGAGAAGCGGTAATAACTAGGTTTCATTTTCACGAGAATTGAACACATTTTTGGCTTGTTGAATGATTATGCAATTACTTTTCTTCAACAAATCGCAGGTTTTCATAAAATCATTCAAGTTTTAAGAACAATATTTTATGTTAACGCTTGATAGAGATAAATCTTTCATAATGCCGCTAGAATAACTTCACTGTACAGGAATTATGAGTACGAGATCATTGAGTCATCTTTTTGGTGAGTTTTGAGATATCTACTGTTAATTAAGTATCTTAAAGTTCTCGTTTCTCTTTCAGATCATGATATATCTATAGAAATACATTTCTTTATCTGGATCCACTCTTTCGGAGACGTTATGTTTCTTCAGTACCTTGCAAAAGACTCCTTGACGCCATAAACTGTATTTCCATCAATAACTCCGGTCAAAGTATTATACGGCACCTTTGAACCTAATCTGCAACCTGGACGTACTCCTGGGAAGGTTCTCACGAAGTCGATACATTTGACGTGGAACAACTTATAGAAGAGATCATCTTCAGGGATATAAATTTCATTACAGTAGGGATGTTTCAAGTGGGGAGGTCTGCCGCAGCATTCTTCGGGATCGTTCCTGTTGATCGGATCTGTGAAGGAAACAGTTTATTAACAGTTTAATTCTGTACTGTAATATGTGAACACTGGAGAAAGTAAATGTTCTACTAGAGATCGAAGATAGATCATACAGGGTGTTTCAAATTTGATCCTCATTTATCTGACTATTAATATGCCGTTGAGAAAGATCTGAAATTCTGAGTATATCCAGAGATATCCGGAAAAAAACAGAAATTTCGGAAAATGGATTTTATTGTTTTATGGCTTCATTTTACGAAAGATTCGNGGTGAAATAAATGAGGACCCAAAATTCTATTTACTAAATCGTACTTGAAGTTGAATTTCTCGGAACTACCTGGTGTTGTTTAAGCTTCAAATGTGTTCAGTATTTCGGTTGAATATCCCACAATTCGTACTTCCATTTTCTGAAATTTCTGTTTTTTCCGGATTTCTCCGGATGCACTATACGGCATATTGTTAGAGAAGTAAATGCGCAACATTGTCCCAGTTCAATCATCTCCGTATCGCTCATAGTTTCCGAGATCTCAATGGTGAGGTTCGAATTTGAAACACCCTGTATGAAAGAAGATAATGAAAGAAGTGAAGATCGGTAACAGATGCTGTCACCGGCAAAAACACCTCGGTATTTAGGGTTACCGGTGTTCGGGAGTGATGCTTTTCTTTTGTCTACTGCCCGTAGACAAAAGAAAAGCATAATTTTCTTTTCTCTGCTAAGAAATCAGTCTCAGAGCCAGAGCTGTAGCAATATCCCGGTATGAAAACACTAGCTGGTTAACAGTTTCACCCATCTTGAATTCATTTTTTTCTGATAGATGAATTGTAATTAAAGCAAACAGAGTTGATGTTTAAGAGCACTTGAATGATTAGCGTTCATTTTTTATTCAGAACAATATCAATGCATTATTGGGACTAATTCTTCCAAGGGCAAGTTGGCAATAAAAAATTGTACGAAACTTTTTGTGTTTTGTGCTACATTCAGCATCAAATTTTTATGATAGAACAATGTTTGCCGTGTCTGTTAGAATACAAGTAGTTATTTATAATGAATCTTTCCGCCATATTCATTCTCACCAAGAGAACAACTCCCCAGTCCTGAATGTTTACTGTATTTTTACTTTTTAAAACAAAAAATAAGATCCTCGAAACCTTATGTCATCTTACCTAAGGGTGTTGCTTGCAGAGTATAATCGTGATCCATGAACTGTCCCCAAGCTATGATCATGACTGTACCGGCGTGATCGTGATAACCATCATCTGGATGCATGGTTCTTGATACCACTCGCGATGGAGGAAGGGCTCTTCCTGAGATTCCTATGCGAGGCCCTACCATGCCGTCAGAAAACAGAGGACCCAAAAGTCTGAAAGAGGAATATTTCAGTTGGTAATAATTTTCTCAGTACCAACGACATATAAAACGCAAATAATGTGAGTGAAATATGTACTAGCATTTTGTTGATAATCTAGCATTTGTTCAGCCAACATTACTTTCATATTTTTGGTTGGAATCTCATGAATTTTTTGACCAATATTTGTGTTTCAATCCACGATTGTTACTAGACATCATCGATTACCTTTGATTTCACGGTCCAGTTTATTATTCTCACATATATAATTACTATTGCTTGAAAATATGCTCTAGGTACATTATATACAGTGTGTAACAACGAAAACTTAACAGAGCCGTTTTTGAATATGAAAAGTGAGATTTTTAAAAAAAGCTCGGACACGTCGATTTCTAATTAAAGGGGAACACCTTTCAGACTAATCAGATTTTTTTTGATTCACTTTTTTATCAACCTTCATAAGGAGGTGCCACTCAATTTACCTAAAATGTAAGGGTGGAAACCAACCCCATCCCCCGAAAAAATCTCCTCTTNCTGAAAAAATTACGAAATTATCTAATCAAACAACAACTGCTCAGTGCTATTTTTGCCACGAATCATCCTGTACATCCATTTACATACATGAAGTTTATGTACATCCTGTACATGAAATTCAATCCTTTTGAAAATCTGCCACAATTGTTAACAACTATGCGTCATGCTGATTGACGCTGACGAAAGTATTTATGTATAAGTGTTTTTGTTCATTTTGGAAAATATATCAGTACACTCGTTAAAATTTCCAATTAAAAAATGAAGTGTTAACAAACTGATGATTGAAAATCTAGTTGATATAAGTGTTTATAGGTTGTACCCAGAATTTCATGATCGAAATGTTTTGAAGCACAGCTATAAATAACTTCAACGCGACGTATTTACTTGTGTTTATACAGAGCAATCAATTTCAAAATAAATTCTTCACAAATACGTAGTTCATGCGGAAAAGTAACTTTCAGGCAAAAACTGGAAGAAAAAGGCCTCTCGAAATAACTATTTTCATATTGTAACGTTCCAGTTTTGGAAACATATTAATTTTCTTTGGAATATCCTGTATATATTCTGTTTTCTTCGAAAAATCCTTGCAAAAACAACCACGTTTCGTTTTGCTTCGACGAACGATCGTCTGTGCCAGTTTCAACGATGATCCGAGAGTATTGGTCAAAAACACTTCGTTCGATGCGTTCAAATGGATTATTTTGTATCGATAATGTGATGATTGTCATTCCTTTTTCCTGGTGGCTGAAGGCTTTACAGAAAACGTCTCAGCCGTAGCTCTGTGGCTTACAGAGACAGGCTTGTCTGGCCATCTGAGACTATCCACGGAGATCTTGTGAAGGATTATAGAGTAGATTTGTGGCAAAGGGGGCTATTTTTTGTTGCTATTATTTGATACTCAAAAATTGACTCGGTTTAGGAGATATAAACAAAAAACCGAAAATTTTGAAATACTATTTATTGATGTTCATTTCAAATATTGGATATTATTCCAAACTTCTTCATAGCACTTCCATTAAACTTGTCTATTTGTAGCAATTTGTTGATGAATGTTCATATGAACTCATGAAATGGAGTTTTTTTTGTTGATTAATATTACTGGGGTTCTATCCCAACTCCCTCTTGAAGATAATCACCAAGTGATAATCACCAAGTGATTATCTTCAAGAGGGAGTTTAGTCTTCTTGGTGATCACTTGGTTGCAAATGACCTACATCTAGTTCCATACAATAATACAGTCTACTTTCGGCATTCCCGAACAATTCTCTGTCGCAGGTCTTCCAGATTTGTAGAATTTATTTAATCAGTAGTATACTTTATAAAATGGACTGCACTAGTAGTTTTTCTTGAATCTAGTTGTCGCAGAAAAAAAAGTAGATGGTTGGCCACTGTCACTTCTTCACGAATTATTATTCACTCATTCTTGTTCACTGTGTTCCAACATGGTTTATTCTAACGACGAAAGAATAGAAATTGTTGCAACCTATTATCAAAATAATGAATGTGCTAAAGCTGCTGCAAGAATTTATAATACGAATCATTCAGACCACAACGTGAGCCATCAATACGTTAAACAGTTGATGGAAAAGTTTCGTGTCAGAAATGAGGGAGTTGAAGTTGCAGTTTTAGGACATGTACAAATGGATAATCGACAATATATCAGGCAAGTAGCTAGAACGTCTGGTGTATCAGCTACTAGTGTTTTTAGGATTTTGAAAGCCTACCAGTTCCATCCTTTCAAAATAAGGCTAGTTAAGGAATTAAATGAAGATGATCCTGCTCGTCGGCTTCAGTTTTGTGAGGTGTTCAGCGAGAAATTGACCAATAACCCAAACCTAATATATAATACATGTTTTTCAGATGAAAGTTCTTTCATGTTGAATGGTGAAATTAATAGACATAATTGTCGTACTGAAGCGATGTAAATCCTCATTTGGTGATAGGAACACATTTACAAACTCCACAAAAATTGAATGTTTGGGTCGAGATTCTTGGTAATCATATTGTTGGTCCATTCTTCATTGAAGGTAATCTCAATGGAGACAAATATTTGAATCTATTACAAGACTGTGTAGATCTTATGATTACACAAATTTTAGAAAATGATCACAATTTAGTAGAAAATGAAATAACATTTTAGCAGGATTTTGATGTTTGGGTGAGACAGTTTTTGGACGAACGTTTTCCAATGTGTTGGATCGGCAAAAGGGGTCCAGTAGAGTGGCCAGTTAGATCACCTGATGGACCTTTTTCTGTGGGGACACCTGAAGTCGAAAGTGTACTATACTAAGCCTACAAATCTAGAAGATCTGCGACAGATAATCGTTCGAGAATTCCGATTGCTGACTTCGGATATATTGAATAATGTACGGAACGCTTTCGAGAACTAGGTGGAGGTCATTTTGAACAATTTATCCGTTGATTTTGTTGGTTAGTAGTGTCCAAATATCCAAGATATGTGGATATACATATACATATGTATATATACATATGTAGGTATACATATTTCTCTGAAATATGTATACCTACTATTGAATTTGCCAACTAGTTAACGGATAATTATATTTGATTTTTAAAAATTGTTTTGTGAGTAATTGAAAAACATTTGAGCTTATATATTTAACATTACATTCAAAAGCTAATAGTTTGAGCTTTATGCTCTCACTGTATGAATTTCATACTCACGTCCTGGCTAAATTTATAGAAATATCCAAAAGTAGTTCACCAACTGTTGCAACATCTTCCGGTTTCCACTCTCCGTGAGGTTGGGCAATTCCTATTCAAAGAAGAACGGATGAGTATTACAGATGTTAATCTATTAAACATTTCAATTGCGAAGTCAAGTGAAAGATTAGTATCACTTTCATACACAGGGTACAGTGCGGTGAACGTCCATTAGCTGTATTTTGGGAAATGATAAATTCAGTATCCTGAAAATTGGCAAATGTAGGTTTTTAAATATGCTTCATCGAGAGAAAATAATGAAGTTTTTCAAATACTTTCAGTTATACCGGAAGTTGGCAGGTTGGCGGTCCTTATTCATCTTTCACTGCCTGAACCACTGCGCATGCTTTTTTCGGCAAGTGCATTGGCTTGGGATGTGGGGGTTGAGCAAACCGGCCATCGGATGTCTGCTTCCACGTAGCCCCGCTGGATATGGGAATGACAGAATCACTTGTGGTTATTCCCTAACTGAATGGCATCCCAACGATGGCTTAATCCCAAGGTATTTGTATCCGTGCCGAGAGGATGAATGACATTGAGCCTATCAGCTGTCTCTACGGAACCTTCGAGATACTGAGCGCCCTCTCGTCGAAGCATCGTCTTGTCACGGTAATGCGGGGCTCTGCCGTGATTGACCTTCTTTCCCTAGCTACTCGTGGTACTTTTATGGACAGAGTAAACTTAAAAATTCTTTCTGACGCTGAGTCTATAGAGGAGATAGATGTCGAGCTTACGACTCCAACTGACCTCCCTGTAAATTTAGATCAGGAGCGAGTCTATAGAGGAGATGGATGTCGAGTTCAGGAGCAAGTCTACGGAGGAGATGGATGTCGAATTTACGACTCCAGGAGCGAGTCTACACAGGAGGTGGATATCGAGTTTACGACTCCAACTGACCTCTCTGTAAATTTGATCCAAGAGCGAGTCTACAGAGGAGATAGATGTCGAGTTTATAACTCGAACGGACCTATCTGTAAATTTAGTTCAGGAGCGAGTCTACAGAGGAGATGGATGTCGAGTTTACGACTCCAACTGATCTTCCTGTAAAATTTAATCCAGGAGCGATAGTCTTGCAACTTACTATCCGACTGTCTCATTAATAGAGCATATACTTTGTGCCTGCCCCGCTGGGGACCGAATCAGGTCTTTAGAGTTCGGCAGAGCCGTACTCTCACCATCTGACCTGAAAGACCACTCATTTTACAAACTAATCTGCTTCGTTAAGAAGCTGGGTTTGTTTGGCCGAGTGAGAATAGGTGTGAGCCACAATAAACCCTTGCGGACTGCGGTGAAGGGTCGAATACACCCACTCACTTTGGACCTAACCTAAGCCAACCTATACCGGAAGTTGGTACCAACTTCCTTAATTCAGATGTAACACCCTGTATATTTTCACATTTTTAATACCTGGAATAATTCTGATGTGAGTTTACGTTCTCGATATATTCATTTGTTTACTCAAAAAAACTAGGAATTCGGTTCTCGAGTGATTACCCCATAAAATTCAAAAGCTATTACTTCATTCCAACCTCTTGTAGGAGTACCTTTTCCAAAATTGTATACAAGGTGTTTTGGAATCGATGACTGATTCTGAGGATATATTTTAGATGAGTTTTGAAATTACGAGATGTTTTTGACTCTCTTCCATGAAATATTCCCTACATCAAAATTCAAACGTTCACGAGATATTTGAATTTTTCTTGAAATAATTAAACATGCGCGTGTTCACGATAAAACTAAGGACTATGAAACCCTACTTTCAAACAGTTACAGAAAGTTTGTCAAAGCTATTAATTTGCCGTCATGGTTTTTGTTGAGAACGTTTCATATGAATAAATAATGAATATGTTTGAAGACATTTTCGTTAACTTCCAGATATTTATTATTTCTATCAATATTGAAAAACTCATGTTTACCAATTTCCAGGATATGATTTTTATTATTCGTCAAAATACGGCTATCCGACGTTCATCGCGCTGTACACTGTATATTAAATATTGCTTGAAACGATTACCATAGAAAGAGTGATTCTCAGTAAATTTATAATCATTTTGCTATTTTTTATTTTTCTGATAGATACTCACTTATTCTTTTGCGAGCGTCCAAATATGCAGCGTTTATAGCATCGTAGGTAATACATGTTTGAGGTCCATTATAACCCCTGAAATAGAAAAAGAAAGGTTATGTTTGGGGGCGGAGCTCCATACGTGAGAACAATACTCCAAAGAAGGCCTGATCTGAGCTTTATAAAGCATCAGAAGTTGCTGAGGTGTGGACAGTTTTCTGGTTCGGAACAGTGTCCCAAGCTTTTGAGAAGCAGCCTTTCCAATTCCAGCGACATGATTGTGCCAAGGCATATTGGTGTCCATATTAACCCCCAACAGACTTATCGAAGCAGAAAGCGGAATTGTCTGACCTGATGTTATTATATCTGGTTCGGAGACATTTATCTTCTTGGAGAAAACCGATGCCTGGGTTTTTGTGGCATCGGTTACTTTCACCCCAATTTGAAACCACTTCTAGATCCTCATTAAGATTTGCAACCTCCTGCTGCCGGTGAAGATATGCCTCCGTAGCCGATGTCCTGGAATCCAAACTGAATGACGAGACAAGTGTGCTGTCTTCAACAAAGCAATATATTGGATTCTTGTTTTTACCCAATAAGTCGTTGATATACAATAAAAAGAGGGTTGGAGACAATATGGATCCCTGGGGAACACCAGTGTTGATGGTAAAAGCATTCGAGAGGTATCTATCGACGGCCACTTGCAGGGAACGTTTTTTCAGGAAGCTGAGGAGCCATACATAAAAATGATCCGAGGATATGATCAAAATGACAAGTTGTATGTTTTTTTTTTAAATTTTATGATCGATTGGTATCTTCTGTACTACAAGAGTTAGTAGGTCGTCCAAATAGATCGAAAGTAACGTATACTGGATCAATATCTAATGTCGAAAACAATTCGAAAATATCAGGTCTTACGAGCATTTTAGAAGTATTAAAAAGTAAGCAGAAAGTATTGGTTATGTTAATACTCATAATAACCTTGATAATCGTCTTGCCTTCCTAAATTTTCTAAAATACTGATGCTATTGAAGTTAATTTGCGGCTAGTGGTTATTTGACTCTGTGAGTACAAATAAGCACGAACATTTTTCTCCACGGAGACGACAAATCTCATGTATCCAAGATGAACAAGTAGCTTTCACTGCAAGGCAACAAGATGGAAGCAGAGGCCCAAAGTAAAATATTCGTTATCCTATAACAGCCAGCGTTGTTTCGATCTGCCATAGGTCTCATCTGAACCACGAATGCATTCTCCTTAAAGGACAAGCCTAGGTATTTGTAAACGTGGACAAGTTTATCCAAGTTTATTTGTTTGATTTTTCTCAAGTTGAATGAAAAATGGTCCAAATATTTTTTATGAAACGTTTCGTGTTAGAAGTTGAAAATGATATTGATTTCTGGAATAGAATGGAAGTTTGTTTACGAAGCGATTTTTAGCACTACAATGGGGAATGTTCCTCCTGACGAAAATCAAGTAGTTTTCCATAAAAGAGCTCTAAAACAACGCATTTTGAACTTATCATTTCAACCTTTTCCTTTAAAAAATGATTTGAATACTTAAAAAAGGAATGAAATAATGCATTCAACATTTAAAGCGATTCGTTTGTATTCCACCATTTGGCAACATTGGTTATAGCTAATAAAGGACAATGAATCTGTTACCTGTATGAGACAAACAAAGATGACATATTTCAGAGAGGTGCTGCTCTGTTTACTTATGTTCCGAGTTCCGAGACATTCTGTGACATATGACATTTTGTGCACCTAATCATCTTCCTCTATATAAATAAATAACAAAAAATAACTGTTGTTTATATGGCTTGTGGAGGTGGTATTGAACTATAATTTATATTTTGCCTTAATAAATGATTCATAAAGATGATTTTCCTTTTTTAAAGTAGAATATCTAGGTACGTATGAATTATTTCAACTTGATATAGGCGATGTTGCCAATATGCGAATAGAAACAAATCCCTTTAAAAATTAAAGCCCAACATTTGAAACATCAATTTGAATACTTTTCGAAGTGAATTTGAAAAACTCATGAATTAAACTCAACTTTATCTTGTTCAAACTGGCATTTGCTGTAATAACCCAAATTGAGGAACATTCCCCATTCTATTCCTTTTCCAATTAAGGACCACAAATACATTGTGTATTTGATATGGATCAATATGGCCCTTCACAGCATGTAATTCGAATGGATATTTCCGGAGATATTACATATTTGAAATGCAGGTACATAGCGGTTGCGATGGTACTGGCCGGGGGGCCGGTGGCGCGTGCCTATAAATAGCGCGTTGAAGGCTGTGCTTCGCCCCATATCACTTTATGATTATCACCGATCGCACGCGTTTATATGTATATTTAGTGTCAGCATTGCATCCGTGCGGAATCGGGGCGGTTCGATAGTTTCTTTACACAAAAATTATTAAATCATTGGGAATAACCACGTAATTGATCAGTATTGATAATTTTTTTGAATAATACATGGTTATTTTTTTGATTTTTTCATTCATGAAAAATTAGTATGAAAATACATTTGTTTTATCGATTGAATGGAAAAAAGAAATCTCCATAACACGAAAGATCTGTTTCGGAAGTTGAAAATTTCTTTTAGTTATGTTTTCTGCTCGTTGGAGGTTTGTTTTACAAATTTTGAAAATTTGCAATAGTTTTTGAGATATTCGCATGAAACAAACCATTTCTTTTTCATTTATCTAAATTGTTTACAGATTCCAAACTATTTGTGACTCAAATCGTTAACTACTGTGGGTGAAATTATGCATCAAGTGAGAATAATAATTTTCTGTCAAGGCAAACTCAGATTTTGCTAAACAACACTTAAGAACTAGAATGATCGGATATAATTCAATATCGAGCGTAGTATCAGCCGGGGAAGTAGTTCTTTTCCGAAAGACGCTTACCAGAGTCTACTGTGTAGATTAGTTGGGAAAGATTGATATTTTGAAATATTTATTTTCGATAGTTTTTAATTTTGATAGACTGATCACAGTTGAAGTCAAAATATACTTACAGAGGATTATTACCCCTAAGAAGATTGAGGGAGTAATCAAACTGACTGCTTCTGCCTTGTCCTTCGAGTATCAAGGCACATTCACCTGTTGCTCTGCTATTCACAATGTATTCTAACGGTTGCTGGTACTGGATACTTGAGACCAGATGAATTTGGATCATCGCTAGTGCTATGAGTAAATGGGGCGGAGAGCCTCTTCCCCTGAAAGAAAAAAAATGAGATGAGTACATGCTCACAAAAATGTTTTTTAAATAGGACATACAAATGATAGTCAAGTATTCAGTAAGATGGATTTGACGAAAAAAAAAGATGTATGTTGTAGACCTAGAGCAATTCATTCCCAGTATATTTCCATTCAAAATATATCCAGAATATATTCAAAATATACTGAATGACAACGAACTCATTGTACACGACGCCATGCTGTTGTTTCTGTTTTGAGAAGTTTGAAATTCAGACTGAAGATGTGGCTCCAACAGAAGTTGAAAGTTCTTTCTGAAGGTTTGTTCGTTTTTATGAGTTCAATTCAAACTGTAATATCTCAGTGAATACTCATTCAAATCAATTGAAATAAGGGTCAATTGAAACATTGCCCATTTGCCAACGTAACACAAGTCGATTATTTCCGTCATTCAGTTATGTTACGTCAGAAGTGACTGGGTCTATTCGGCCCTCCACTGCAACTCACTCATACCTATTCACGCTCGTTCAAATAAATCCAGCTTCTTAACGAAAATACTCACACCCTAAATCGGTACGACCAATCTTACATATTTCCTGCTGAAAGGATTTGATAGAATACTCAGGAGGGTGACAGTATATGCATCCCCCCTGAATAACCACCAGTATGCTTATCAAACTGGCAAATCGATAGATTTAGTATTGAACAACCTTGTAGAGAAAATCTCCCAATCTCTTGACAACAAAGAGATTGCGGTTGCTGTATTTCTCGATATTGAAGGAGCATTTGACAATGTACTACCTGAATCTATATGATCGTCTCTGGCTAGGAAAGGTATAGAATCGACCATAACTGGCTCGATCTATGCCATGCTGGTAAACAGAACTGCAACTACGACTCTTCAAGGCGAGGCCTTCAGGTTCAGGGTCACCAGTGGATGCCCTCAAGGTGGAGTACCATTTCCCCTTCTGTGGTCACCCCTGATGGATTGTCTGCTTGATGCCCTCGACAGAAGAAAAGTAGGTCTGCAAGTTCATGCAGATGACTTTGACAACTTGGCAAGATCCACGTCAGGAAGGATAGCTTTTAATATCCTCCAAAGCACGATGGCTGTTGTTCACAGTTGGTGCCTGAGGGAGCAGATGTCTGTCAACCCCAGCAAAACTGTGATAATCCTCTCCACCAGGAGGAGAAAATTGGAAAATCTAACGCCACTTTCTCTCAATAGTGAGGTCATTCCATTTGGAACGGAGGTGAAATATCTTGGCATTGTCCTTGATGAAAAACTCACCTGGAACGCTCACTTGGAAAACGTTTTACACAAAGCTAGACTGTCTCTATGGACATGTCGAATGATTTGTGGTGAAACTTGGGGCTTAGGTCCCAAACAAATCCATTGGATTCATGTGATGATTGTCAGATCAATGATTACTTATGGTGCAATTGCTTGGTGACCGAAGGCTTTACAGAAAACGGCCCAGGCGTAGCTCGCTGGCTTACAGAGACAGGCTTGTCTGGCCATCAGTTGTGCCATCAGTACCACATCGTCAACGGCCATGGATATCCTTCTAGATCTACCTCCCCTCCATATTTTTCTGGAGAGAGAGGCTAGATGGACTGCATATAGACTTTTGCACATTTCCAATTGCACAAATCAATTTAATGCAGAGTGCAACAGACTGTTGATTTGACACTGGAATTGACAGTATTCTGGAAATTACCCCTGACTTTATGCCTCCAACTGTTAACTACGAACTGCCTTATAAAGTACTGTTCCTGAGTAGAGAGAATTGATTCTCCGGGAGAAGGAAATATTAAAACACCTTCAGGTTCTAGTGAAGGTGTTTTCAGTCGAAGACCCAGGACAGAGATATCAACCTGCCTAGTAACCTATAAGCCTGTATTTCGAACGGAAGTTTACGCTAGTGAATTGTGTGCGGATAAATTGAAAGAAACTAAACTCATACACAAGTCAATGGAAATATTTTCGGACAGTCAAGCGGCGTAACAAATTGCCACAAACGATTGGCATCGCTTTTGCCTTTGCCAAACAAAGATTGAACACCTGGATGGCAAGAAGATTTGTGACTTCAGGCAGAATCTTCCAGGATTGGCTCACTCCAAGGAGTTTATTCACCCTTCGAAGCTTGATACCAAACAGTTGTTGAACTACAGTAGAGATGAACTGCGATGTCTAACAGGCCTTCTTACAGGTCACTGTCATTTGAATCATCTTATGCAGAGACTCGGACTATCGGAAGACAGTGTGTGTCACCTCTGTTTGGAAAATGATGAAACAGCATAGAACATACTTTGTTCCTGCCCTGCAGGGGACCGAATCAGGTTTTTAGAGTTCGGCAGAGCCGTACTCCTGTCATCGATTTCGTTGAGAAGCTGGGTTTATTTGGTCGAGTGTGAATAGGTATAGGCCACAATAAACCCTTGCGGGTTGCGGTGGAGGGTCGAATAGACCCACTCACTTTGGACCTTACCTAACCTTACCTAACGAAGCCGAATAGTTTATATGGTAAGTGATCTTTCAGGTCAGATGGTAAGAGTGTGGCTCTGCCAAACTCTAAAAACCTGATTCGTCCCACAGCGGAGCAGACACAAGTATGTGCTCTGCTGTCCCATCATTTCAAATAGAGGCAACATACACTGTCGAGTCTCTGCATCTGATAATTCAAACGACAGTGACCTGTGGAAAGGCCTGTTAGACATCGTAATTCATCCCTACTGTTGCCCAACAACTATTTGCTTACAAGCTTCAAAGAGTGAATCAATGCCTTGGATTGAGCCAATCCTGGAAGATTCTGCAAGAAGTCCGTGAATATTATTGCCATCCAGGTGTTCAATGCTTATTTGGCACAGCCTAATGAGATGGCACAGATGATGAGGTGAGGACACCCACCCTCACTGAGTTGCCAGCTGATTTCTTGGAACCCTTTGATGAGACTATTTTCGACTTCGTGCTCGAAGAGCCAAATCCAGCCTTTTCCCTTTGTTTTCTCGACGAGACATTAATCGTCTTCGTATCCTGAAAACCAACTGGTTTCTCAGCTTTGGTATGGGTATAAGCCGCTAGTTTACCACTATGTTTGGGTGGAGGTTTGATTGCTCTCCCCCCATAGATGGATTGCCACTTGGCCTCGCTTTATTTACTTTAATGTATACATTAGAGTGACTCGGTTGAGTAGTTACCTGCTGAAAGGGTGTCCGGGTTTCAGGACATGTCCAAAACCAAAATGAGGTCTAGAACCCATCCTCGCCAGCACGGCCATGGATCCATCAGGAACAGTGAAGGTCCATGTTTAACCAGGGCCTGACTTTTCATTGCGGAGAATAGTACACTCCAAGGTTCACAGATCACGGTTCATTTTCCTCAATCTAGGAAAAATTAACTAGGCATTTGGCAATGAACGCACTGTTTGACGTTGTTTCGCAACATTTCATTTCGAATATTTTTGTCTCGAAGATGAGCCCCAAAGTGGTGGACCTACAGTCATGTAGGACGAGGATTTGAGGACCCTGGTGAAGACTGACTCATCACAAACGGTGCATGGAATAGTGGAAGAACTGGGCGTTAGCTCCCATGCCGATTTTGATAGTTTGAAATGTATTAGACCGGTCACTCACGTATAGTTTTAACTGACAGTTATAACTGTACAGTTTAAACTGACAGTTAAAACTGTACTCCAATTTTTCAACTGTACAGTTTAACTGAGAGAAATGAAATTATTTATATTTTTACTGGAATGACAAACTGAACTGAGTGTATGTGGCGGTTTGAACTGAAAATCTCAAGGTAGCAGTTATTCTTTCGTGAGGACATATTGTTTTCCTCATGATGGTTTCTTGCTTCTCTATCAAAGGCGAAACCAACGAAAGTAATTTTTGGTACAATGTTTTGCGTCATGCGCAAATAATTAAGTAAATCTAACGGCTCTTCCCTTGATTCATTCAATGAATTTATGTGGAAAGATACATTTCGTTTTTGTAGTAACATTGCTAAAAGTAAACTGAGCGCGGACATATCGTCGTCCCCGTTTGAATCCATGGGGAAAAACTGAAGGGATGAGCAATCAAACTGCACTTCGGTGTACATCTCAGTTCACAGTTAAAACGGTCAGTTATAACTGTACAGTCACAACGCAGTTCTGTTGTGAGGAAATCAATGAAATGTACCGAAAATAACGTCAGTAGTAGTTGGCACTGACTAACAGAAGATATCCGATCTACACAATTGCATACGCAGATGACATAGTTATCTTACAGACCAGCAAATTTGTAAACACACTGTGCGATAGAGCGCAGGATGGGCTCAAATTAATAAAAACATGGTGTAAGGAACACTCACTGTTGATCAATCCCAAGAAGACTGAGATAGTCCTTTTCACCAGGAGAAGAAGTTTAACGGGGTTAAAACCTTCAAAATCAAACTAAACTTCTCTGAAGAGCTAAATACCTTGGTACTATTCTCGACAGGTAGCTAACATGGAACTCTCATCTACAGAGTAGTGCAAAAAGAGCTTACGTGGCTTATGAGCAATGTCGGAGGACAGTGGGACGCGCATGGGGTCTTTCACCCCGAGTGGTCACCTGGATCTACACTACAATAATAAGAGCTATGCTAACGTATGAAGCCATTGCATGGGGACCGAAAGTTCTACAAGCAACGACCATCCAAAAAGTATATTAAATACAGCGACTGGCTTGTTTAAACATCACAGGAGCCATGAGAACAACACCAACCGCGGCAATGGTCTGACCCCTCTGGATCTGTACGTTAAGGAGGTTGCGTTAATGGCCATGGTACGATTGTGCACGGCTTGTTAAACCTCGAAGTAGGAATGGGTCAATTGTGGCTGGGCCTATGGCGGGAAGCGCTTACTGCGCAACCTCTGCTGCAGGCAACAAGTGATGCAATTGAACCCAGGTTTGTGTTTAATAAACCCTACAAAATACAAATTATGAAGAACACAGAGTCAGATAGTACAAATGCAATACGGATTTATACAGA